GACAAACCTACCCTGAAGCCTGATTTCTACCTCTTTTCTCATCACCACTTCCTCCCCTGCCACTGTTTTCCGGGCTTGAGTTCCAAGATAGTAAGAGAGCTCTAGTACTCACTAAGCATTTACTGTGCACCAGACACTTTACCAACACCACCACCCCGGCCCCCCCACCAAAAAAAAGTCAAACCCACTGCTGTCCGATGGATCCTGACTGTGGTGACCCCATGGGTCACAGAGCAGATGGCTGTCATGGAAAGCAGGTTGCCAGGCCTTTCTTTCGCAGTGCAGCCTTTCTGCTGGCAGCCCCGTGCAAACCATGGGCACGGCCCAGAGGCAGACACTCTGCTGCTCGGTGCTGGCAAGGATGAGTGTGATTTAACCTTACAACAATCTCATGAAAACAGAACCATTCGTTCTCCCTGTTTTATGGAGAAGGTAGGAGCCCGGTGGCATAGTGGTAGAGGTTTGAACCCCCAGCAACTCTAAGGAGAAAAAGATGTGGCTGACAGTCTGCTTCCGAAAAGATTAAAATGCACTACCATTGAGTCAATTTAGACTCAAGGCAGCTCTACAGGGCAGGGTAGAACTGCCCCTACAGGTTTTTGAGGATAAATACCGGAGCAAAAAAGCTTCATCTTTTTCCTCCTGAGCAGGTGGTAGTTTTGAACCGCCGACCTTGGAGTTAGCAGCCCAATGTGGAACGTATTATACCACCAAGCTCCTCCGTAAAGATTCCAAACCAAACTCACTGCCAGCGAGTCGATTCTGACTCAGGGTAAAGCTGTCCCCTGTGGGTCTCCCAGATTGTAACTCTTTACAGGCAGTTGGTGGTTTTGAACTGCTGACGTTGCAGTTAGCTGCCCAACTCGGAACCTACTTGGCCCTCAGCAATGCTGTAGGGCAGTTCCGTCCTGCCCTGTCCTCCAGGATGGCCATCAGCATGGCACGGTTTCCCCTCAAAGTAAGGGCTGTAGAGCCTCGTCTGTGGCTGTCATCCCACTGGGGAGTGGGTTCTCTGTGATGCCAGTGAGACAGGGTGAAGGTAGGGAGCTGCGTCTTGAGCCGTTCTCTTTTGAGATATAAGAGATTAAACCAGTGAGAGAAGCACAGATGAGGTAAGACGGATACCAGGACCCACGGAGATCGCCAAGGAAGCAGAAACTGAGGACACAGGACTCTAGAGCCGGCAGTGAAAACTGTCCCCCTACGACCAAACCAAACTCACTGCCCTCGAGGCTCCTAGCGACCCTATAGGACAGGCTGGAACTGCCCCCGTGGCTTTCCGAGCCTGGAACTCTCTGCAGCAGTAGAAAGCGCTGAGCAGTTAGCAGTTTTGAACTACTGACCTTTGTGGTGAGCAGCCCAATGCTTAACCACTGCAGTACCAGGACAGGGCCTCTGAATTCAAATAGCTAGCCTCTTAAGCCATGAGAGTGGGAGAAAGACAGACACTCTACTCCCATAAAGAGGGTACAGTCCCACAGGAGCAATTCTATCCTGTCCTATGAGGTCGCTCTGAGTGAGAATTGACTCGATGGGAGTGAGTTGTTTGGGGTTTTTATTTTGAAGCTGTGAGAGAAAAAGGTCTTGGTGACATGGGCAGTTACCATTTGAGCTACTAGTGACAGACAAGGTCAGCAGTTTGGAACTACAAGCCACCAGACAGAAGAAAAAGGAGGCTTTCTGCTCCCGTAAAGATGCTTAGCCTGAAGGAAAAAAAAAAGGTGCTTAGCCAGGGAAACCCACAGGGGCAGTTTTACACTGTCTAGAGGGTCACTATGAGTCAGAATCAACTCGATGGCAGTGAGTGTTTTGGTAAACAGAGAGAAGGCTGCCTGGCAGTGCTGTGGGTTAGGCATTGGCCTGCTAACCACAAAGTTGGCACTTGAAACCCACCAGCTGATTGAAGGGAGAAAGGTGTGGCTGATAAAACATACAACTTTCCTCTAGTTCCTAAATGCTCCCCCCGCCCCCACTATCATGATCCCAATTCTACCTTGCAAGTCTGGCTAGACCAGAGGATGTACACTGGTACAGATAGGAACTGGAAACACAGGGAATCCAGGGCGATACTGGGAGAGTGGAAGGAGGGTGGTTTGGAAAGGGGGAACTGATTACAAGGATCGACATATAACCTCCTCCTTGAGGGACAGACAACAGAAAAGTGGGTGAAGGCCGACATCGGACAGGGCAAGATATGACAAAATAATAACAAATTATCAAGGGTTCATGAGGGAGGTGGGAGCGGGGAGGGAGGGGGAAAAGTGAGGAACTGATGCCAGGGGCTTAAGTAGAGAGCAAATGTTTTGAGAATGATGAGGGCAATGAATGTACAAATGTGCTTGACACAATTGATGCATGTATGGATTGTGATAAGAATTGTATGAGCCCCTAATAAAATGATTTTTTTTTTTAAGTAAAAACATCAGAAAGGTGTGGCTGGGTGCTCGGATTGGGAGTCACAGTCTCAGAGACGTTCCGAGACCGTGCCCATAAGGGTGGCTGTGAGCAGGAAGGACTCGGCGGTGGTAGTTAAACTGAGAAGAGGAAGAGGAATTTCTATTGGTTAAAGCCACCCAGTGGTGGTGTCTCCGTACTAGCAGCCCAAGACCACTAGAGAGTTGCAAGCAGTGGAATCAGCTTGAGGGCACGGGGTTTTATAGACAAGGAAACAGGTTAGGCCACTTGCCCAAGGTCAATTAGGAATGTCTTCTCTCCTTGTAGCAACAGAAGCATAGTGGGTAAAGTAGCATGGTGGGTAAAGGCCCTTAGGGGCAGCCAACTCTAGGATTGACAGTGGTTAAACCAGCCACCTTGGCTGGGGGTGGGGGGGGGGGGGGGGGGGGGGGGGAGTAGCAGTCTGCTTCTACTTCCATCAAGAGTTACAGCCTCCGAGCAGTTTGACGCTGACCTATAAGGTTGCTGTGAATTGGAATCTACTTGACAGCAGTGAGTTGTCTAAGCACATATATCAGGCAGTGGCCAGTGACGGGATCTTTGAACTCAGGGTAACGGGGTCCAGAGAGCACTGAGACCACGGGCAAATCATCCAGCCATTATGGTCTCTCGACCGAAAAGTGAGGGGTTTCAAGTAACTTCTCTATGCTTCAATTTCCTCATCCGTAACATGGGGTTGATGAGAGTAGACCCACTTCACGGGGGTCATTGTGAGTGTTGAAATGAGATTGGCCAGACAAAATGTTAGCATTATACTTGACACAGGAGTCCCCGGGGGCCTACGGTTAAGTGCTTGACTACTGGGCGAAGGACTGGTGGTTTCAACCCACCCAGAGGGGCCTCGGAAGCTAGGCCTGGCAGCCTGCTTCTGAAATTCTGCCACCCTGAGAACCCCGTGAAGCAATTCCCCTCTACACACATGGGGTCCCCATGGGCCAAAATCAACTGGACAGCCCAGCAGCCACCTGCAAACGCTGGGTGGCCAGAAAAGTTAAGCATTCAACTACTAGCCCCAAGGTTGGGGAGTGAATCAGCTCAGGGGTGCCTCTGAAGAAAGTCCTGGATCTTCTACTTCGGAAAGATCCCAGTCATTGAAAAGCCTATAAAACAAACTCCTACGGAGCAGCAGTTGGACTCTGAAATATACACCGGGCCGCCATGACTTGGAATTGATCCAATGGCCACTGGTTTAGGCCTTTAAAAAACAAAAACTTGGCAGATCTTGTCTAAATGAGAGTTACTCAGAGACCATCATGGTAGGGCCAGTCTGGCCAGTCTGGCGTTAGACCTCTAGCGCTGAGAAGCTCGACTGGCCTTATCAGAATCTCCACACTGTGCACAGCAGGGCCTCTAAGTAGGCAGCGGGCCCGGCCACATGGGGCAATGAAGGCTGGCAGGCCTGGCCCCAGGGCTTGCAGGACTGGGAGAAAGAGCCCTTCTGTTGGTTTTTACAAAAACACTAGATGGGTTAACGGGAGCCCCTGGGTGCGTGTAAACACATCCATCATGGGTAGAAGGTGCGGTGCAGTCCTCAGGGACAGACTTTGGAGCCAAACTTCCTGGGGTCAGGTTCCAGCCCTGCTAGCCACTGTTTACATATTATATATCCTCGGCTGTGCTGCCCCTCAGTTCCTCTTTGGGTTTGTCATTTTACAGAGGGGCTGCGAAGTGCTGACTCGGAAGGTAGCGGTGAGAACTCACAAGTGAGACAAGCTCCGTACAGTACGGAGTGAGTCTGGGGGTCTCAGTGGCTCTTAAGGAAGGGAATAGGAAGCCTTTGCCCTCTCTCCTCACTGTGTAACCAGACTAATCACCAATGGGGGAGCGAGGCCTCTCCCCAGGATTCCTTACCCATCTGCAATTCAGCAACGAATGCACTAACACTTAATTCAGGACCTGGCCTGAGCCTAATAGTCAAGGTTATCAAAACCCCTGAAGTTCACCCCTTCTATCCTCCTCCTCTTCCTCCTGGAGCCCTGGTGGCATAGTGGGTTACCTTACATATTGGGCTGCTAACTTCAAGGTCAGCAGTTTGAAACCACCAGCCACTCCGAGGGTCACAGGTGAAAGCTTTCTACTTCCGTAAAGAGTTACAGTCTCAGACACCCACAGGGACAATTCTACCCTGTCCTACAGTGCCATGGGTTGGCATCTACTTGATGGCAGTGAGTTTTTCTTCTCATCTAGCATCCAGTTACCGCTACCTTCCAAGGCAGCAGTTCGCAGCCCCCTTGTAAAATGAGAGACACCGAGGAAGAAAGATCTGACCTTTTGCTCCTGAAAGACCACAACATGACAGCCTGGGGAGCAGGTGCACACGTACACACACACACACACACACACACACACACACACTCTCTCTCTCTCTCTCTCTCATGAGAATCAAATCAGCACCTGTTTTCTATGTTGATTTTTCTTCTCATCCAGAAGAGGTGTCAGGAAGCCTTTGGGGGAATATGAAGTTGGGTGTATGGGGGGAGGGTGAATGGGAAATGGAAAAGAGCAATTGTGGGGAGGGCAGAATTTCATGAGGAACCCCTGATGTGGGACCCTTCTGCAGACATCGTGACCTAAGGCTCTCAGAAGGATATCTCCCAAAGAGAGAGGACACCCCTGGGTGGGTGAGATGTCCCCGGGCAGGATCTGCAAACTGCTCCCACCTGTTTTTGCCAGCTCTGTGCGGGAGAGATGGGGCTTTCTACTCCTGTGAAGAGTTAGCATCTCGGAAGCTCACGGGGGCGGTTCTACCCCGGCCTGTGGAGTTGCTAAGTGGGCACTGGCTCGATGACAGTGAGTTTGGGTTTGGTTGTGACTGTGGATAAGTCATTGTAGGTCCCTGGAGCTCAGATCCACACTGGAGAAATGCCACCGGAAGCCCCACAGGGGAGGTGGCCAGGGGGTTCTCCCAGGGCTGTGATTGCTACCACGTGGATTTCCTGCCATTCCTGCAGGGTCAGTTTCCAGCAGGAAGTGAGGTAGCCTTTCTATCCCCCATCCCTTCAAAACCCTAGTCTCAAGGCCACCAGATCATGGAGTACAGGGTAGGACCCAAGCCCTCTCTGTACTGCTCTGGTGGCCTTTCCAATGACCCCCTGGGTGACTGAAGCAAACGATGTGCGTGTGAGTCAGTGGTTATTGGTGGTCCCTCGGCATCCAGAAACCTCTCTCTATTTTAGGGGGGATTGGGGACCTATAGGGAGGTCCCCTCTTAATTTGGATCCAGCCACTTGGTCCAATTTTTTTTAAATCATGCAAATATAGTTTGATATGTACAGGAGACCATAGTGATGAAAGACAGCATGCAAATATTTGATTTCCTTTAAGCCCCTCAGATTGGGCCGGCAGGACTTAAGTGTGATGACAGGCCCGGAACCCAGGGGACTGAGCGAGCTGGCTTCCTGTCTGGAGGCCAGCAGGCAGTGAGTTGGGCGCTGCTGTCTTTCGCTGGGCCAGCCCAACAAGGCTTTGCAACAAGCGAACAAGGCTTTGCAACAAGTGGTATGACCTCCTGGGTCACATTGGAGGCAGCTAAGCAAATAACCTGACCAAGGCCCCTCCCACACAGGCGCCCTGTCCTCTCCAGCTCCCACCTCGGTGCCTCCCCTCACGCTCTGGGCTCTCTCCCTCCCCTCCTTCCCTTCCTGGGAATACTTTCCCCGGCCTCCCCTGGCATGTTTTCCTTGTCTCCACAGACGGAAGAGGCCCGACAGCAGGAACTTGCTGATCCACACACCCCCTGCTCCATGGTGGCCGTGCTGTCAGGTAAGAGAGCAGCAGGAAGATGCGGTCAGGAAACCTGGCCCTTAAGGCCACCAGCCAGCAGGACAGCTTTGGGGGCTGGGCTGAGAAGTCAGTCCCTCGCTGCTTTCCCCTCTGGTTCTAGTTGCTTGATGTTGGAGGTCATGCCCCCCTTGACCTTCACTGCCACCAAAGGTACCCCAGGTCCCTTCTAGCCCCAGGTGGACATTGGCCAGACCCAATTGGGTGACTAGTTTGTGACCGGAAGTAATTCAGCCTTCTCCTAGTTTCTGCCCCTCCCAGCTCACCTCCTTCCTCTTAGAGGCCTCTCCACCTCTGAGACCCTGCCTAGGCATGCTCCCTACCAATCAGAACACCCTCCCCCACCATCTGTCCGGGTCCCTTTCTATCCTGGCCTCCTCTTCCCTATCTAGGCTGGCGCCATGCCCCCCCCTGCAGAGGTGACAGACCCGACCCATGCGCCCGCCGTCCTGCGCCAACTCAATGAGCAGCGGCTCCGTGGCCTCTTCTGTGACGTTACCCTCATAGCTGGGGACACCAAGTTCCCCGCTCACCGGAGTGTCCTGGCGGCTTCCAGTCTCTTCTTCAGAGAGGCCCTGCTCGCTTCAGCCCCACCGCCCCTCCCACCAGTAACTGGGGATTTGGCCCCCAACCCTGCCACCAGCTCCTCCTCATCTCCCTCCTCTCCTCCACCCACCTCACCATCTACTTCACCTCCACCTCGGGTCCTGGAACTGCCAGGCGTCCCAGCAGCTGCCTTCTCTGATGTCCTCAATTTCATCTACAGTGCGAGGCTTGCTCTACCTGGTGGGGGAGGGGACGGGGCAGCGGTGGCAGAGATCGGAGCTCTGGGGAGACGGCTGGGCATCTCCCGCCTGCAGGGCCTGGGGGAGGGAGGTGATGCCTGGGTTCCCCCTGCCTCAACCCCCATGGCCACCTTGCAACCCGAAGAGGACGGCTTCGGGCCAGGGGCCAGGCCAGCTGGAGAGTGGGAGGATGATGGGGCGGAGGCCCAGGCCTCTGACTCACAGTCCTCGCTGTCCCGGCGGCTGCTCACGTGCCCCAGATGTGGGAAAAGTTTCATTCATCCCAAGCGGCTGCAGACCCACGAGGCTCAATGCCGACGAGGGGTCAGCACTCGGGCGTCTACCGGGCTGGGAGCCGGGGGCTCTGGCCCCGGCGGTCCAGCGGGAGTGGATGCCTCCGCCCTGCCCCCACCGGTGGGTTTCAGAGGTGGCCCCGAGCACGTGGTGAAGGTGGTGGGCGGCCACGTGCTGTATGTGTGCGCAGCCTGCGAGCGCTCCTACGTGACGCTGTCCAGCCTGAAGCGGCACAGCAACGTGCACTCCTGGAGGAGGAAGTACCCCTGCCGCTACTGCGAGAAGGTGTTCGCCTTGGCTGAGTACCGCACTAAGCATGAAGTGTGGCACACTGGGGAGCGCAGGTGAGTGGCCTGGTGCGGGGAGGGGGGGCGCAGAGTAGGGGGATGGAGGCTGGGCAGCACAGAGGGGTCAGGAGCTAGACTTTAGACCCCTGTTCCGGACTGTGAGGACAGGGGAGGGGCAGAGCTGAGCATGAGTCTCAAAAGTCATCCTGAGGCTGGCCCCCCAGCTATCTTCAGCTCACCCACCTGTCTCCCTGCACCCACCACTCCCTTCAGCTGATGGTAGTAAACAGCACCTCTACATCTTGGTGCTATGGAGAAAGCAGAGGAGAAAGGTGCCCTTACTGGAAAGGACTACAGGGTGCTCAGACCTGGCCGCAAACAGTGAATACTGTTCCGGACTCTCTCTCACTGCCATCGGCTCATAGCAACCCTATGGGACAGGGTAGAACTGATGGCCTAGCATTTCCGAAACTGTAACTGTTTACAGGAGTAGAAAGCCCTGTCTTTCTCCTGTGGAGCAGCCGGTAGTTTTGAACTGCTGCCACTGAGGATCGCAGCCCAATGCGTAACCACTATGCCACCGGGGCTGTTACTATTCGGGGCAATGCCTTATATTTCCATAATGTAGCCAAAATGTCAGGAGCCCTTGTGACTTAGTGGGTTATGCATTGGTCTGTTAACCTCAAGACCAGCAATTTAAAACGACCAGCCACTGCGTGGTAGAAGGATGAGGCTGTCTATTCCCTTAAAGACTTGTAGCCTCTGAAGCCACAGCTGTGATACTGCTCTGTCTTATAGGGTTGCTCTCGCTCAGAGTTGACTTTGGCAATGAGTTTGGTGTTTCACAAGTTACCCATCGTGTCCTTAAGTCCCTGGGTAGTGCAAAAGCTCAGTTTACACACTTGACCGCTACCCGGAAATTGATGATTCAAGTTCATCCAGAGGTGCCTCGGAAGAAAGGCCTGGTGATTTACTACTTAAATAACAATTGATCCTGAAACCCCTGTGGAGCACAGGTCCACTCCGGTACATATGGGGTCAGTTCGGTCGAATTTGACTGGAGAGCAACTGGTTAGGTTTGGGTTTGGTTCCTAAAACGTTTCCAGTCCTGCCATTTGTGCTTCAAAATACCGCTTTGCAAATGAGGTGGGGCGCGCCTTGACTCCCAGCTTAGCTTGCAGATGGAGGAGTTGGCTGTCTAGAGCCTCGCAGCTGGTGGGGAGCTGAGCCAGGCCTGGTGCTCCTGCTGAGGCTGGCAGGGGGAGACAGACAGCAGGGCAGGAGGAAGAGCAAATGGCCAGGGGAGTGAGTTAGCGGTTGGAGTGGATGGCAGTAGAGGGTGGAGGAAGCTGAAGCCCCGGTCCAGGACCCCCGACTCAAGTATCTCTGTTCTGACCCTGTTCCCTGCTGTTCCCACCAGGTACCAATGCATCTTCTGTTGGGAGACCTTTGTCACCTACTACAACCTGAAGACCCACCAGCGAGCCTTCCACGGCATTAGCCCAGGCCTCCTAGCCAGTGAGAAGACTCCCAATGGGGGCTACAAGCCCAAGCTCAATACCCTCAAGCTGTACCGCCTGCTGCCCATGCGGGCCGCCAAGCGGCCTTACAAGACCTACAGCCAGGGAGCCCCGGAGCCCGCCCTTTCGCCAGGTCTCGACAAAGCTGCTCCTGCAGCAGTCCCAACCAGCCCACCCCCCGGACCCCCACCTGCCCCAGAGCCTGGGCCCCCACCCTCTGTCATCACATTTGCCCACCCAGCCCCTTCGGTCATTGTCCACGGGGGTAGCAGCGGTGGCGGAGCCTCGAGTGGGCCTGCCAGCACGGGAGGGGCCCAGGCCGCCTCTGTCATCACTTACACCGCTCCCCCAAGACCTCCCAAGAAGCGTGAGTACCCCCCGCCCCCGCCAGAGCCTGCGCCCACCCCAGCCAGCCGGGCCCCAGAAGTGAGCCTAGCCCCAGCAGCAGGGTCCACCCCGGCCGCCGCGGAGGAGACCAAAGGCCAGACCCCACGTGCAGGGAGGACTCTGACATACACCGCCAAGCCAGCTGGCGGGATCGGCGGGGGCGGGGGTCCCCTGGCGGGGCCTGGCCGGGGCCCCTCGCAGCTCCAGGCTCCCCCACCGCTCTGCCAGATCACCGTGCGCATCGGCGAGGAGGCCATTGTCAAGCGCCGCATCTCAGAAACCGACCTGCATCCTGGGGAGCTGAGCGGAGAGGATGGGGAGGAGAGTGAGGAGGAGGAGGACGAGGACGAGGACGAGGAGGACGAAGACGAGGAAGAGTCGAAGGCTGGTGGGGAGGACCAGCTCTGGAGGCCCTACTATTCCTACAAGCCTAAGCGCAAGGCCGGAGCCTCGGGCGGCGGCGGCGGCGCGGGCAACGCGGTGCCCCGAGGGCGGCGGCAGCTGCGCTGGAGGCCGAAGCTGGAGCGCAGGGGCTGGGAGGAGACGCCTGCGGCCGAGGGCCCGGCCGGGCGTGCCCGCAGTGAGCGGAGGCACCGCTGTGGGGACTGTGCCCAGACCTTCGCCACCCTGCGCAAGCTGCGCAAACACCAGGAGGCCCACAGCAGCGGCTCCCACGGCTCCCGGGCCGGGCGGAAGCCCTGCAGCCGCTTCACCTGCCCGCACTGCGCCAAGGTGTGCAAGACCGCTGGCGCCCTCAGCCGCCACGTGCAGAGGCACGCCGCCGAGCGGCCCGGGGGCGCCCCCACCCCTGTCATTGCCTACTCCAAGGGCGGCGCCGGCGCGCGGCCCGGCCCCGGGGGCGTCAAGGAGGAGGCCCCCCAGGAGATGCAAGTCTCCTCGTCCAGTGGAGAGGCGGGGGGCGGAGGCACTGCAGCCGAGGAAGCCTGTGAGCCGGCCTCCCTTCAGGACCCTGTCATCTCTGGGGGTGAGGAGCCCCCGGTGGTGGCGGGAGGGGGCAGCTACACCTACCCGCCTGTGCAGGAATTCCCCCTGGCTCTGATTGGCAGTGGCCGGGAATCGGGCAGTGGCAAGGGCAAACCTGGGAGTGAGGGGCCAGTGGGGGGTGGGGAGGGCGACCGGGTGGAGGGGATGGGGGCTGCCAAAGTGGCCTTCTACCCCGAGCCCTACCCCCTCGTCTATGGCCCCCAGCTCCTGGCAGCCTACCCATACAATTTCAGCAACCTGGCCGCCCTCCCCGTGGCTCTCAACATGGTCCTGCCTGATGAGAAGGGTGGGGGGGCCCTTCCCTTCCTACCAGGGGTCTTTGGCTATGCAGTGAGTCCTCAAGCCGCACCTCCCACCCCTCCACCCCCAGCTCCCCCAACTCTTCCTCCCCAAGTCCCCCCTAAGGGGGAAGGGGAAAGGGCAGGGATTGAGAGAACCCAGAAGGGAGACGTGGGGTGAGCTCTGGGCCAGTTTCCCCCCTTTCACCAATTGCTACCCTCCCTGAACCCTGCCACTACTACTAGCGCCCTGGCCTCCCTGCCCCTTGGGAGTCCCTCCACACTCTTGTGCAGGGACTTTGGGGGGCTCCTGGAGCACAGGGGTCAGGCGGCTTTGTGTGAGATTGTAGTTTTCCCATCTTCTGGGACGGGGTCTCTGATGGTTCCCCTCTCAATTCTCCTCCAGGGAATGGCCTCCTTGAGGGGCACGGGCAGCCCCCCAGGCCCTTCTCCAGCCCTCGGGGCAACTGAGCAATATACTTCTCTGAATCTCTACTCACAGCCCCCACCAGCTCTGAATGTCTAACCCTGCACGCCCCGATTCGGAAAATCATCTCTTATCCAATGATCCCACCTGGTTCTGAAGCTTTCTCTTCCCTTCCGACCCCTTCCCCAGATGCTTCCTAGCACATTCCAGTCTTCTGTTTCTTCTTCCCACTCCCCACCCTCCCCAGGTGAGAGGGTGAGGCCCAGGACCTGGACCAGACCATTGTGATACCCCAGCCCCACCCACGTGGGGGCATGGCTTCAGATTCCATTTCCCCCAGGACGGTGTCTGTGTCCCTGGTGGTGGTTACTGTTGTTTTGTTCCTGTGGAAATGCCATGCCTTCCTTGGCTTCCATGCCTTGGGATCTTCCATCCTCCTGGACTTTGGAGCTAGCCTCTCCCGATCCAGGTCAAGGGGGTCTTCTGGCTGTGGGGAGGGCTAGCCAGCCCTCTCTTCCATGGCTGAGCACTTCCTAGTCCAAGGCAGCACCAGTCTTGGCCCTGTCTTAACCCCCAAATCCAGTGACCCCCAGATTCTTCCAAGGCAGACTTGGTGATGTGTCACACCTCTTCCTGCCTCTAGATATAGCCTCTTCTGGGCTCACTCCGATTTGGGGGCCAGGAGGGAGGAGCTCCATATGGAATGGGGAAGGGCATCTACTTGCTCCCTGTTTTTTTCCTGATGGTTTCTCCCAGAATAGACCAAATAGCCAGAAAAATGATGGGGGTTGGCTGGGTGGGTGAGCCCGAGATTTGCACATGACCTCCCATCCTCACCTTGGCCCCATCTTCTCCCATGTCACTCCCCTCATCAGTCACTCCAAATAGTTTGTGGGAGCCACCGTACTCCCCTGGTGGGTTTTGGGGTACCCCCACCAATTTCCCTCCAAAATAGCACCTTACGCCCCGTCCTTGACTCAGTTTCCCGCACCCAAAGATCCCAGCCTAGGGATGGGGCACAGAGACTTTAAACAGTCCCTAGTCCCGAATTTGCACTAGTTAACTCTGGTCAGGGGTCCCTATATTTCCTTCCAGTGGGGGGGAGGGGGAGATGAAGAAATGTTTGTTCCTAATTCCCTGAAAACTGGGCCTCCCAGTTTTCCTGTCAGTGATCGGACGAACATTTCTACCCCACTATTCCCCCCCTCCCCCAGCCTTGGTGGGGAGAAAAAGAAAAACAGCTCATAAGGGGAGAGCCAGTTAAGTTTTGGGGGAGCAAATTTGGCAAATGGGAATGAGAGGAGTGCAGTTTCAAAAAGGGAAATGTTGCCGTCATGAAAATGCGGCCTTTTCCCCAGCTACTGTTTTCTAGGGCCAAGATGGCTGCCCTCTGAGCATCTGCTGACCGGCATGATCGAGGCTTCTGGAGGGAGGGGAGTTTGGGGGAGGGGCAGGCGCATCCTGCCCTCTCCTGCCTTCCCAGTGTATAGGAAGGGGGAGGAGGCTCCCGGCAGGCTCCTTGGATGTTAAAGCAGACGAGTGAGAGCTGCTCCTTCACTCCCCTCGCTGTCTCTCTGCACTTTTCTTGGTCTTGGGCACAACCTGAGTGAAGCGTTTCCTACTGAATGTACCAAGTTCCAATTTTTAAGTAGGCAAAACAAGAGTTTGAAATAGGGGGACAATACAAACAAACAAATCATTAAACAAGTCCCACAAATCTTGTTTCTGGCACTTTAGAAAAACTGCGGAAAAAACGTAATAAAGACTACATATATATATATCTACACACAAATTATCTATCTATCTATACAGCGGAACCACAAGAGACTGAGGGAGGCCTGGAGGCAGGGGCAGATGTGAGGACAGACAGGCGGCCCACAGCCTTTAGTCTGCACTCCTCTGAGGCAAAAAGGGGGGAGATAGAGGGCGTTAAGGATGGGCTGGGGAATTTGAATTTCAGAATGGGTCAAAATTCCAAAAACCATGGATATTTTGGGAGAACTGGGATTGTAGCCTTTTTTCTTCTTCTTTTTTGCAACTATGATTTAGGAAAATGGTTTCCAGAATTTGGTGGTTCTGGGCACTGAGATTGTGGCAAAGTGGAGATGAACATATGTGTATCGGAGCTGGGGGTAGTGTGCATTTCAGTTGTTGGAAGTTGGGGATTTTGCAGTTTCGTCTTTTGAAGTCTATGGAGTCTTGTGAGTTTGTGTTCTTTGCCCATGTTCTCTGGGAAGAAGGGTGAAAGTGGAGTGGGAAGGCCACTGGTTCTGTGCCGCAGCACACAAGATTTAGAATTCTACAGACTCTAGCTCTATGCGTAGTGAGGACCCAGATATAGAGAAACTGACCGATATTTATCTCCGCATTTGTGTGTGTGTCCAACTCTAGGCCAATAAACCAACAAGACAAATGAACTGTGCTCCGCATCGGGGTGCCAGGTGCGGTTATTTGGGGATCCCTGGGAGTTGTGGTTGTACTCTTTCCCTTATGACAGCTTCCAGCTATTGGACAGATGTGAAGCCCTGTTGACTTCAGGTACATCACTGCTCTCACCGCAGCCACCAGGTCCAGACTTTCTCTGGTCTCACCTCTGGGCAGATGCATTAACTCGCTTTCCACTCTGTACACAAATGCCGGGCCCAAGGTCCCCGTGTCTTTCAAGGCCCATGCCTTAAGCCTTTTCCCAAATTAAAAGGAAACTGGAGATATGACCTCTCTGTGCTCCTAACCGTGCCCAGGACTTCAACTCCTTGTCCCCACCTTCCTTCCCTGGCATCTTCTTGAGAGTAATGGAGAATGGGCAGGTACAATGAATGAAGGTGGTCAGGTGGGTGTGGGTTTTGAAGGATTCTGGCGTGCGTTCCTGAACCAGGACCGGTAGCCACTAGTCAGCACTAGCAAGTTGCTGCCAGTGGAAAACGAGTTGATTAGTTGTTTTTTTTTTTCCCCAGAGAATTCAGAAATCCTGATTTCTCTATGAAGCATCCCAATTTCAAAAGGTCATCAACTAACACATTTAAAACACGTACCCCGGGCCAAGGCAAACCCACAAGTTCATGACCTCTGAAATACACTGGATGTTGCTGGTCTGGTGATGCCCACACCACCCTCCAGTGGAAAACACTTATTAGCTTCATTGTACAGATAAGGAAACTGAGGCAAAGCAGTTTCAGAGGTCTGTCTGATCTTTGAACACCAAAGCCGGAGCCTGAATGAACAATTTAAAAAACCTTTTCCTCTCATTATAAGTACATGCTCTCAGAAATGACTATATGTATATTTTAAATTTAATTAATTAATTTTAATATGTATATTTATACTGAGGGTAATACTCATCACCAAAGAATAAATTACAGAAAAGAAAAAAAGGCCACTAGTCCCAACATGCAAAGAGATACACACTACTAAACTGGTATTGCTCCTTCGGGAAAAACAATTTCCAGTGCAAGCAACAAATGCGAAGCACCTACGGTAGATGAGGGCTTGTGCCTGGCGCTGGGGATATGACGGTAAAGAAGGCACAATCCACTTGTTCTTTGATCCATTTCATGGGGAGCCAAAGAAGCTTCTTCAAGGACTCAGGTAAGCCCAACGCTCCCACCTGTCTCAGTCCCACTTCCACTTCATTCCCAGGGAGGGAAATAGAGAGCTAGGTTCCTAGTGAAGGTGCTAAGAGGCAAAGACGGGATAGGGCCAGAGACTACTGCAAAACTCTTGCGTTCAGTTGGCTGTGGTCTTGGGGCTCGGCCCTTCTGTCCTCAAGGAAAGGGGTCTGGAGGAGGCACATGGTATGAGGCATCCAAAAAGATGACCAGGGTCCCGACGCTCGTGACGATGATGAAGGTCCATAAAAAGAGGCGGTCCACTACCATGGCCACGAACTGCCAGTCCTCCTTCAGCTGGCAGAAGGCAGAGGGGAGTGTTCTGGAGGCCCGCCCGCGGCGAGTACCACCCAACCCCCCTACTGAGCAAAGGGAGCGGAAAGGCCGCCAGCGAAGGATGGGAGAAAGAAGGGAAGCCCGGGTCGGTGCCCAGTGTAAGAGCCCTCTAATCAGAAACCAAACCGGGGGTTAGAGACCGAGCCTGAGTTCGAAGGTGGAGGGTGGAGCCCTTAGCCGGCCCTGCCTAGCCCACCCTCACTGGACTCACCGCATCGTGGTCCTCCTGCTCCTGCAACTGCCGGGCGATGTAGCTAATGGAAGAAACGGCTTCCCGGAGCTCGGGAGGCAGGCCCCCAGTCCGGCTTGGGCCATCGATACATCGCCGCAGGTCGGAGGTGGACAGTTCAGGCTGGAACCTGGCGGTGGAATGACACGGGTCCCAGCCCGACGCCAAGACAAACCCACACCAGTGCCCTAAGCCCCGCCCCAACTCCCTTCAGACTCTCCCAGCCTGTGGGAACCGCCAACAACACCGCGTTCCCCCAACTCCCCGCCACTGAGTCGATTGATTGCAACTTCAAAGAGACCCTATAGGACAGGGTAGAACTGCCCCTGCGGGCAACCGAGACTGGCGTTCTTCAGGAATAGAAAGCCTCTCCTTTCTCCCGTGGAGCAGCTGGTGGTTTCGAACAGCCTGCTGCAACTCCTCCCACTCCTCTACTTGCTACCGCCCCACAGCGGAAGGAATACTACAACTCCCATGATGCTCAACCACGGTACCATCCGGGAGCATAAGCCTCCTGTTTTCGCATAGCCTTCTGGGAACTGTAGTTTCCCCGCCTCTCTTCTCTGTGGTCTATAGAGAGCAGGCCCTACCTGTGGAGTTTGGGGAAGAGAAAATCACTTGGAGGCTTCCGGATGAAATATTCATCTATTCCCCTACCCCAGCCACTCCCTGGGGACTCTCTGAGGGGTAGAGGAGGAGGCTCCAGCATCTGATCTCTCTCAGTTTTGGGCCTTCTCAGGCCCAGGTACCGCGGTAGCTTGTGGATGAATATCTGCAGATGAGTAGATAAGAGGTGTTGGATAAGAGCTATGCTTTCAGACATAAGGAAAGCAGCCAAGCACCATCCTCGCCGGTGCCCATTCTTTTGTGTGCGTAAATCCAGTCCCAGAGACTAACAAGTAAGTGCACTCTACAACCATCGGAGCTCTTGGATAATTCCCAACCCGGAGAATGTCTCTTTGTGGACTCAGAAGAGATAATATTGATGAAGAAAGTACGGTAACTATGGCATGATGACAGAAGGATAAGAATAATTGTGTCAAACAGCACTGGGACAGGAAGCTAAATACTAGATTTCGCAGTTAACACAGATTGGGGGTACCGATCGCTCATACCTGTCGAACCCAGAGGGGCATTTGATGAGTGTGGGGTGAGCGGTGGTGCAGGTTGAGAACCACCACACTAAGGATGACTGAGAAGGTGACGAGGACCATGGTGAACATGAGGTACTTGATAATGATGGGGACTGCTAGGGAGGTCTCAGGCACTTTGTCTGCCAGCAGCAGCAGGAACACAGTGAGGGTCAGCAGGGCAAAGATGGAGAGCCCCATCTTCTCCCCTGGGGGGGTCAGAGAGGAAGGAGGATTAGGCTTTTCCAGAAGGCACGCTCTATGGCATAATCAGTGACTGTTTCCAGTCCACTCAAGGTCCTCTGCACATAACGAATTCGCCCAACTCCAATGTCTAGATTCCTCATCCCACCCCCACCCCCGCCCGAAATCTAGGATCAAATCCACCTGTCTGCGTAACCTGTTTGGCTATCCAATAGCCGTGTCAAATTTAACATGTCTCCTGTCTTCAAACCTGTTCCTCTCATATTCTTGCCCATCTCATAAATGATAATTCCATCTTTCCCGTGGCCCAGACTCAAACCCTGGGAGTCTGCCTCAATTTTCCTTTCTTTCTCTCCTCCCATACGTAACCCCGGAACAGACTATTGACTCTGATTTAAGAATATGAGGGTCAATTTAAAAAAAGTGATTGCTAAAAAATCATACAAACATATTAAGCAAAAAACATCGTGAAACTATTGTTTATAGACCTTCTCACCATCTAAGTCTATCTAGTTCTGAAGGGAGTGTTTCTATCTCTCTAACCCTCCTCTGAAGAATTCTGTGTTCTTTGATTCACACCACATCAAAAGGGCAGTTCTGGCATCGCCACCGGACCAAAACTGTGTTCCTTTTCAATGTTCATTGAGCCGAAGAACAAAAACAACGGGCAAGATCAGGGCTGTTGGGTGGATGGGGTAAGGTTTCCCAAGGAAATGCTTATTAAATAGCCCTTGCTACCCTCTAAAAATGAGCAGGGACCGTCTCAGGAGGGGCAAAGAATTCCTCTGTGCTACTAGCTTTTTTTTCTCACCAATGCAGTTTTCAGTGATCTTAACACTTCATCATAAACCTTTAGGATCATCTTGTGTCCTTTGAGAAAAATCTACCAAGATTACTCCTTTGTAATCCCCCAAATAGTCACCCTAACCTTCTGAGCAGACCTCTATACCTTGAATGTAATGATCCAGCACATTCTCTCAGAAGCCACTGTTTTGGTTAGATGTGTTTTTTGAAGGTGACCCCCATGAAATGGAGACAAAAATGCTACTGAGGGAACTTGTCTGCAATCATCCACCTGCTTGACGCAGTTTGGATTAAACCCATGCATAACTAACTGGAGCCCTACCTAGTAGCAACGCTTTTTGACTTGCCCCCATCTTGCCTGAAACTAGTTATTGAACATCTCGACCACTACCACTCTGGTTCAAACCACCCTTGTCTGGGTTATAGTAAAGAACTGCCCCAAAAACCAAAACAACAACAACATTTGCCTAGCTGTTCTCCTTGCCTCATCCGTGGGTCCCTGCAGACTGCTCTTGATTGAACGCACAGCCAGGATGATCTCGTTAAAATGTAAGTCAGATCATATCGCTCCTTTTCTCAAAACCCTTCAGCGACTCCTCCTCTCCTTCCACACAGAAGCCAAAATCTTGACTCCCATCTACAAGGCCTTCCCACTATCTCACTGACTTCATCTCCCACTGCGCTCCCCCTGCTTACTTCATTCAGGCTTCTCTGGGCCCACACCAGCCAATATCAGGGCCTTTACACTCCCTGTTGCTTCTGCCTGGGAAGATCTTCTCCAGGAGAGCTGCTTGGCTCATTCGCCTGCCTCCTTCCCGTCTTTGCTCAAACATTCCCTTTTCAGTGAAGGGTTTGCCGGCATCAAATGCAGCCCCTCTCCCAGTTTGCAACCTCCCCAGCACTCCTTCCACTTTATGTTCTTCCTCAGCACTAGTTCCCTTCTAATACTACAGCGGACCTTGTGTGAGCCAGAACTTGATAAAACTGTCTTATTTGTCTGGGTCTTGCAAACGTTCCACGGTTGTCTGAGTGCAGTCTTATCATTTTTCTATTGCTCTCGCTTAGGGAAAATTATTGCCATTCATAATCCCTCTCTGACAGGATTCTACCTTACACAGGTTCTGGCTTTTGCCAGTTTTTCCATCACTAGAAGAGGATTTGGACACGGACTTTCCCATTGGAATGTTTCTTCGTGATGTATTCTGAGTGCTTAGCGCCTACTAGACGCTCAACCTATGAATAAATGCTCCAACCCCCCTGTAGCCTTTACCAGAACTTCTTAGCCATTTGAAGGGTCTAAAAGGAAACGAAGTATTTCAGGATATGCACGCTGGCGGGTCATTCCTGTGGCACGTAACAGGCTCGGAAAACTTCGTGGAAGGTGTTGAAATGAATGAGTTCCATGATCTGGATGCCTTTAGTTCTAGTACTTTGGTTTCCAAGATTAATCCTGCTCCCAGAAGAAGTGGACGGTGTCCTTTGGAAGTGAGTGGCAGGGTGCACCCTGCAATCTCCTTCCGTAAAGAGGAGAGGAGGAAACCCTATTTTGAATACTAGAACGACCTGGGGTCCCTCCTTGAAACAGACTGGTCTCAACTTGAGTTGGAATGCCCAACTATCTTGAGTTGGAATGCGCTAACCATCATGCCAGCCAAGTGATTTAAGCTCTTTCTGCCTTCCGATCCTCCAGTGTAAAATGGGAATGACCATACAGTACTTACCTCTCTGAGTTTGCTGTCAAGACTGGAATTAAGCTCATGTATGTGAGGTGCTAATTGTATAGCCTCATAGCAAGTGCTCAAAACTAGTACAAAGAATACCAACACATTAGAGAATTTACTGAGTATCGGGCAATTAATCCTCACCACAATTCTATGCAGTAATTGTCCCCATTTCCATATCAGGAAACTTGAGAAACACAGAAATGTCCCTGTTACTACATTATGCTGTCTCGTAGAGAAACGTTGGTTTAATTCCCTGGGAGGTTAAGGGCGTGTCTGAAAAAGTAGGGAAGGAGGATGCTAAGAATGGAGAAAAGAACGGGAATTGTATAAATTTGAGAGTTCATTGAAACAGTTCTAAAGTCCTACCACCAGACTAGAGAGAGGGTGGCCGAGGGGAGGCAGAACCAGGGGTTGGGCTCACTTAAAGGCAAGGAAAATCTGGGTCCAAAGGGGTCTCTCTGGTTGAAGGGAAAATCCGAGGTGGGATTTTGGAAGCACCACTCTGGTGCCCTCGGTTGGCAAGAAAACGCTGCCTGGATTCACAGCTGAGCCTTGGTGCCAAGAAGTGTTGGGTAACCTTACCCCCTTACCTGCATCCGGAGGCAGATAGAAGACAAAGATGGCCAGGAGAGTGATGAGGATGCATGGGGCGATGACGTTGACCAGGTAGAAGAGAGGCTTCCGGCGAATGATGAGATAGAAGGCTATCTCCTGATGCTGTCCTTCACCTCCTTCCCTAGGGTCCCCTACAGGCTGGATGAGCCTCGAGGGTTTATGAATGATCTCCCATTGGCCATTCTCTGGGGGAGGAGAACACAGGTGGGAGTCTTCCTGGTCAGTCCCAGATATGGCTTGCTCAGCCACATTCCAGTCTTGCGAAGATTGACGTGGGGCTAGCTATGAACACTGGGCTGGGCAGCCCATCTCCAATGAACTTGGACTAGCCTCAATTTCCTTCTCTGCCCTACTTCTCTTACTGGCCACCCAGGGTTGTATTGGGCACTGCTGACCCAGTATATTTAGCAGCCTGTTAGAAATGGGAAAATGTAAAGCCCAGGGCCATGGGGGCCGTGCCGACTCACCAGTGAAGGTACCTTCGTGAATGTGAATTTCCTGCCGCTCTTGTCCATCAGGACCCAAGCCTGTCCACAGGCTGACCTCTGAGCTGTCATAGCTGTAGGAACGGAACACCATGGTGCAGTTCTGCCAGTCAAAGGGGAAGTAAGTGACCTGGACAGAGGAGGGGATCTTTAGCAAGAACTGCAAGAGAATGGGTGGGTATTGAGGGAGGTTGCAGGAGAGGTCACAGAGCAGATGGGGGTCAGAGGATCTGAGGTATTGAGGAGACAGGGGTCACGAGGGAAGTGAGGTTACAGGAGCATTGGCAGGATATTAACTGAGGCCATTGGGCAAACAAGGGATGGGATGTTACTGAGGAAGACTGGGTGTGGGGTCAGCGAGTGTGTGCAGAGAAGATGAAACCCAACCAAAAATCAATGTGGCATAAGCGATGCGGGCTATGTGGGATCATGAAAGAGATGGGACAATCCGGGAAGTCAGCGGAGAGAGAGGGCTCCTAAAAGTGCCCCGGGCTTCCCAGGCACGGTCTGGGCACCTGGATGCTGCAACTGCTCCGATACAGGCCCGGCGGCTGCCAGCGCACAGAGCCGTCGGAGGACACCACCACGTTTACATCCAGAGCGACGTCAAAATTTCCGTCGTTGCTGTCGGGAAGAGATCTGGGTCTAAAATCAGGCCTGGCCCTGTGGCCCCGTCGCTCCCGCGACCCTGCCCACCTCCCAGGTTCTGGGAGGCTCCTTACTTGTTCAGGAGCACCACATCGGGCAACCACACGGCTTGCGCGGTGATGCGCAGAGAGTCAATGCTCTCGTAATCCTCGGGGTTCCAGCTCAGCCTGTAGTCCGTCCACTCCTCGGAAAACAGAGAGTGAAGAACGAACTAGGGCTGGAGGCTGAGAGGGAACCCGGGAAAGCGTGAGGAGAGGGTGCTGGGAAGCAGAACCACACCGGACCTGGAGGGGCTGTGGGGTCAGGAGGCCCAGTGTTCAGGCTCCCGCCCCGCCGCCGCCAGCACTCCTTGGAACCCACCTCAGCTAAGGTGGGTCCCAGACCCCACTTATTTTATTCCGTAAAAAGAAAGATACTGCTTTTCAAACAATGAGTGGCCTAAAACCTGTACTTAAAAAAGAATAATAATAGAATGAAAAACACATGGAGTGTAACTCCTCTCCTGTAGGACAGCTCGGCAGTGTTTCCGGAAGCTTCTATTTCCGTTATAAATGTGTTTTCCGGGATGGTGAAAAGGAAGGACGTCCTGCGCTGGACAGTCCAGGAAATGGCCTAGGTAGCAGGAGGGTCCCACCCCGCAGGGCTTCCGTACCAGGTCTAGGTACACCTTTGTGCTCATCTCTTCATCCTTCTCGTTCTAAAAGGGAAACGTATAAAGGGAAGAGGTTAAAGAGGGTGCGGAGGGGAAGAAGTGATGGGGGGAGGGAGAAGAGATGAGGGGCCCCGCCCCCCTTTCTGAGTCCCACCCCCCTGAACCCAAACCCCTCCCATATTTCACAAAGACTGTTCTACTGGGGAGTCTGCGGTCTCTCTACCGCCCTCCCTTCGGCCATCCTCTGACCGGCTCCATCCATGCTCATTCAGCCCTGAGCTTCGCCTCCCGCTGTGTTTTTGTTTGCTTTGATTTTGGGGTTTTTTTTTACTCTGCTGGGCGCCGAGGTGCGAGGTGCGCCCCAGCCTAGACGGTTCTGACCCAGCCCTGCCTTAAGGCTCGCCCTCTAGCTCTTCCCTGGGTTCCAGCTGCTTCTTCAAGGCCAGCCCACCCACCACTCTCTCGGCTCCACCCGGAGCCTGGCCACGGGACACGCCCACGGCTTTGCCCATTGGTCCTATTTCCACTCAATCTCCAGCCTCGCTCCAGGCCACGCCCCTGCGGAGCCCCAGGCCACGCCCCCTCGGCCCGTCGGGGAGCCGGACCGCAAGCGACGCCGAGCGACCTCACCAGACTGATGAGTTGCGCCAGGGTGAGACCAATGCTGACCCGGACGCGGTCTCCCAGCGTCCGTGCCGGACGCACGGAACTGTCATAGCCCGAGAACAGTTTGTTGCGGAGCCGACCCTCCGCCTCTGAGCCATGGGCGTCTGGGGAAGGAGGGGACGAAGTGAAGCCCGGTGTCCGTCCAAGATCCCTGACCCTGCCATTGCCCCCTCGGGGTCCGGACTCACCCGGAGGGAGTGGCGCCCACAGAGCTCCCATCAGCAGCAGCGGCAGCAGCGCCCTCCGGGTCATGGCCACCGGGAGAGCTGGCTGGGTGAATTGCCTAGCCCGCACTGCCAACCCAGGGGAAGTGACGAGGCTCCCGGGAATGTGCACCTGTTGTTGGGGGGCAGCCGCCAGCCCACCCGCCCCGCCCCCAGGGCTGGGTCCCGCCCCCGACAACTGCGGGTGGCCGCCGCCCACACATAAGGGACACAACTTCTTCTTCGGTATATAAATCGTCTTTAATTGAGAAAGCGTGGAGTGGACACCCGTTCGCCGGGGTGCGGAGCCAAGAGATGGGGCGGAGCCTGAGCGGCGTTGGTGTGAGTGAGGGGGGGCATCTATCCCTCCAGCGACAAACTAGGAGAAAGGGTGGAGGAAAAGTGACCCAGCTCTGGGCCCAAGTCCCTCCCTCAAGGTTTCACGTTCAATGCCCCGCCCCCACCGGATTTGAGGCATGTAGAAGTCACCTCCTAGACTTGTGGGTACCAGCCTTTTCTAGGCCTGCCCCCAGTCCTCTGTTTTCCAGAAAAATCTGGTCAGGCCTTTTTTGGGTACCTAAAACCCAGCTGAGGTTATAAGCTGTAAGGTAATGCAAAGTGGTCTGTTCAGTTAGAAGCTTGGGGCGGAGGAGGGTGTCCTCGTGTCCGGGAGAGAAATGAGACTTATTGCTGAGTTAGGGTCTCCTCACTGCGGATCAAGGCTGGGTCCCACTTGTCCTTTCATTTCCAGATCGTCATTCTAAAGACCTCAGCTTTAAAGGGACTGCTGGGAAGGGACGCTTGCTGAGGTAGCTCAGTGTTCATGTCCCCCCCAAACCCAGACACAGGTCCCACCATGCCATGGGTTTAGCCCCTTCCCCATCCTAGCTTCCCTGTTATGGGCTAGGGACCCTTCCAAAATTCTTCTGCCTTTTCTAGACTCCATTCCCCTGGCAGGACCCCAGCTGGGTTCCAGGAGCTAGAAATTGCATTTAAAAATAAAGTCAGCATTCTATATGGAAGAATAATTTTCCCCCCGCTTTATTCTCTAAGAATAATAAGAAGTGGTACTTAGTTCATCCAGAACTTTGTTCTTTATGAATCACAACAGGGCCCTTTCCAGAGCCCAGCCTTAATGGGTGGAAGCGTGGGTGCATGGATCTAGAATTTACTCTGGAGCAGGGATCCTCAAACTTTTTAAACAGGGGGCCAGGTCACTGTCCCTCAGACCCGTTGGAGGGCCGGACTATAGATTAAAAACAACAACAACTATGAACAAATTCCTATGCATACTACACATATCTTATTTTGAAGTAAAAAAAAAAGGGCAAAAACACCCAGCGGGCCGGATAAATGTCCTCGGTGGGCTGCATGTGGCCCCCTGCTCTAGAGCAATACTATGGCTGTGCAGGGCCCAGCCCCATCCTGAGGGACTGGGGGAGGAAGGGCTGAGATTTGTGGTCTATGTCCTAGAGCTGAGATTCAGGACAAGTATGGCTCCATGTAGGTTTAGAACACCGTGCTCTAGAACTGGTTGTCTCTGGGATAAGGAGGTTAAAGCCTGTGGTGATCTGAGACTGGTCCCAGTTCAGACTGTGGTCTCAGCCTGACAGACATTAAATCCAGCCTTTGTCTACTTGGAAACCAAGAGTCTGGGTAAAGGACAGAAGCCTAATGGATTCAGAACAGTCTGGCAGCGTGCCTAGATTCCAGCACAAAGTTCTAGTGCAGAAATGGCCCTGGCTGGTGGGGGTGGGGGGGGTCCTGATGTTCCAGAACCTGTCCAGTCCAAGGCAGAAGGTGGAGTGGGGGAAAAGGGAAATTAATCCTGAGCGCCAATGGAACTAGAAGTCTATGGTCCAGTAGCAATGAAGAAGAGGCATGAGGTCCAGGAACTGGCAGGGCCTGGGGTAGGGAGTGTTTAGGCCCTGGTTCTGTCCATTTGGAAACCACACCGTTACCCCAGGAAAAGGTTTGGTGGGGAGAGTGGCCATGGAAGGAAGGGGAGAGTGATCAACCAGGTTCATTTTCAGACACTCTCTGCACCTCCCTTCTGGGCTCCAGGATTGGTGGGTCTTAGAAATCCCAGCCAGCTCCTAGGTGACCCCAGGGAAGAGCACCTGGTGGAACCTGGCTGGGATGAGAGCAGCGCCAGGGGAGAGGCGGTGGCGGTGGCGGTGGCTGGTTCTGTGGGAATGTAGGAAGCCTCCGGCCCAGCAACTGCATTTCAGGGGTCAGGGGGACTGGAAGGAGAAGTCTCAGGGACACTGTGGAGAGAAGGCTCCCGGTACATGGCCACTGTGAATGGGGAGAGAAAGGAACAGGAAGGTGAGTTAGGCACGGAAGAATGCACACAGAGCTGGAGCTCTGAAAAGACTCACTTCCCATGCACTCATCCTCTGGGAACCCCCAACCCAGAGAAAGAGGACTCCCCAGACCTGCAAAGACCAAAGCTTTTGTGGCTTGACCTGTCATATGTGTCAGTAAATGCCCGTGTCAAGGTCAACACCGTCCCGAGGGCCCATCTTTTCTTGAGGTCATACCCACCCTCCAGGAGCTTGGGTACAAAGTGGGCGGCTGCCTTGGTCTTCTTGACTCGGTTTCCCTTCATGACCCGGCCCTCCTTGTCCAGGCCGAGGTACCAGGCCCGGCCAGAACGGCGCTGGCGGTAGAGAGCAGAGGCGTACAAAACATAGTAATTCTCAAAGACGCACTCCTTAAAGCGACACTCAGCTGTGAAATGTGGCTGAGGAGACAAAGACCCAGACAGTCACAGACAGACAGAGACAAACAGCCACATCACTGAGCAGAAAGGAGCCCTGGGAAGGAATAAGATGGGATGTCACCCATGCACTTCCATTGGAGCCCAACTTCTGAGTCCAGGCTGGAGAAGGAGCCTGGTAGGCCCCTAAGAGCTCAGAGCTCGACTTTCAGGGACCTGAAATAAGAACATCCCTTCCCTCCACTCTACCCTCAGCCTTCACACCATCCCCTATCTTGAAGGGCTCTGGGGAAGAGAACAATAACTAATGCTGGAAGAGGTTGAATGAGACCGTAGGAGTCCTAGAAGGCTAAAGAAATTGGACTCTTAAAGGGTCTGGGTGTTGTTTCTTTTGAGGGGGGGCGAGGGAGGCTGTGCCAGGAGCAGGGATTGGAGGGACTCAGAGGAAGTGTTCTTGCTCTCAGGTGGCCAGTGATGGCAGGTTCTCAGTCAAAGCTGGGAGAAGAAGGGGGTCGGTCGTGGGCTGTAGAATACCAGTTGTTAAGGGAGGCTGCAGGCAGGGGGAGTTCTTTGTACCCCACGCCTCTGGGCCTCAGCGTCTCACCGAGCTGTAGAGAAGGCCCTCAGCATTCATGGCCATGTAGTGGCCCAGTCTGGAACTCTGGATGGTGACCACACGCAGCCCCACGGGGATCAGGTTGAAGTGGGCTGAGGGTGGAGAGAGTGGAGATCAGCACCCCCAGCTTCACTTCTTCCCTGGGGAGACGGGGTGGGGGTGGGGTGTCAAGGAGACAGACAAAGGGCTTGTCATCATCCCCTCCCCCTTCACTCCCCCCACCCTTCCCAGCAGATGGCGCCCCCTCACTGAAGGAGCTGGTGTCCTCTGGGGTGCCCTGGATGCTCCCATCAGGATTCGCCTGGAGGTAGAAGCCTTGGCGGCAGAACAGTTTGGTGACGATGCCTTTGAGCTGAGGCTCTGGGGAGAGAGGCATTCATCTTTGAAAATGACATCTCTGTTCCCAGAAACATTCCTACACTGGGCGGGATCTAAGGGTGGGAAAAGGGAATGGAGGCAGGAAAGGTGGGTGGTCCCAGGGCCCCAGCTCTCTAACCTCTCTGACTCCTGAGGAAGACGGGTGTGGCCCCCCTTGGCTTCCCAGGACCTAGAGCTTTCCATTTAATTGAAAGAGATTTATTTCAATGGCTTAATTCCTACTCTACAGCTCAAACGGAAGGGGGAAGGGAGGAGGAGGAAACGGAGAGAGATATATCAAAAGGCAGAGGAGAGAGACAGGGAGATAGGCAGGGCTGCCGGAGGGGGTGGTGTGTTTGTGAATACGTGTGTGTGTGTAGGGGGAGGCAGGGTGACCACAGGGCAGGCTCCCCCTCTGGAGAGGGGGTGGGGCTGGGCCTGACGCTGACTCAGCACCTGCTGCTGCGCTGCTGTTGGCTTGGCTCCGGCCTCCGCTTGGCCCAGAGCCCGCCTGTCTGACACTGACCCATCTGTCCGTCTGTCAGTCATTCCGCTGGCACGCGGAGGTGGGGGTGGGCAGCCCACCCTGAGGCTCAGCCTCTCCCCTACAGTCAGGTAACCCGTCTGGGGTGGGGTGGGGGCTTCGATACGGTACCCAGGAAGTGGGGGAAGGGGGGTCGAGGAGGTGGAGAGGCAGGCGGAGTCACGTGGGGGCTGGGTCCCACTCAGAGGGTGGGCTGCGGACCGTACCACTGCGGACAGTCGGTGCCGGCGGGAGGAGGGCGCGAGGGGACCAGCTCCAGGGGAGCTGGGCGCGGACGGGAGCCGGGCCAGCGGGACTTCCTGCCCGTGCTACCTGGACGGGGATTACACGCTACCCATTACAACTTCTTCTCCGTCGCTTGCTCGAAGCCGACTCCCCGTGTCCCCCCTTGCCGGTGGTACCAGCCCCCCAGTCACCGGGCTCTTAGCCAGCACATTGGAGCTGCAACTGTATCTGAGTGCCTCCCGGCAGAGGGTCCCCTGAGCTTCGGGGACCCGGTTTCCGAGTCGCACGGGGAGGCTTTCGCGGGTGGGGGTGGGGGCTACCCAGCGCCCATCTTGAAGCGCAGGTCACGCGAGGAGGGCGTACCAAGGGGCGGGCTGGCCAAGTAGCTGCAAGGGCACCCGGGGGAGAGCTGGGCAGCTTAGCTCCGCGCCAGCCGGGCTCGGCTCGGAAGAACCCAGCCAAACCGTGGAGGAGCGGGAGCACCGGGGCGGGGGCGGGGCAGCGGAGCCGCAGAAAACCTCGGGGTGACCGGGGCGCCCAGAACCCCCCAGCCCCCTCGACTCGGGATGGAAAGAATCGCGAGAGCCGGCACGTAGGCGGAGGGCAGTGGGGGTGGGGACGCCGGGGTTTGGTGGAGGGGGTGGGGACAGGAGCGGCAAGGCTTCGGGGCGCCAGACTTCACCCCTCAAGCTTTCCCCTTGCCCTCGAAAGCAAGGAGACCTAGGCTTTGTGGGAGAGAGAGGAAACTGAGGAGCCGTTAGACAGGCGGGGACTTGGTCGTCCGGGCCCACCCTCTTCCACTTCCGGGGAGACCCCTCGGCCCCACGCTTCAGCTTCCCTGGCCTCTCCCTTCGCAGCGGAGACCCTCCACCCCCGGCCCGGGGTCCCCGCCCCAGCCGCACTCACCCGGGCCGGGGGTCGGCCGCGCGGGCCGCCCCCCGCACAGTCGCACCTTGGACAGCAAGAGGAGGAGCTGCTTCTGGCAGAGGGACTTGGTGCCGCGGGGACACACGCGCCGCTGCGCCGACACGGGCCGGCTGCTCCCGGGCTCGCGGACCTCCCGCTTCTGCCGGATCAGGCTACTGGCCAGCGCCGCCATGGCGCCCCAGGAGGAGGCACCCCCAAACTGGCCGGCGCTTGGAGCACGCTGGGTTCCCCCAGAGAAACCCGCTCACCACGGCATGCTCGTGCCTCTCTGGCCGGGACTCGCCGCCGCACCCACAGGACCTGAGGCTAAGCCCTAGAGGCCCCCCCTTCAGTCACCAGCTCCGACCTTCGGGGGCCCCGGTGCCGTGCTCGCTCCCCAGGGCCCGGCAGCCGTCCGGACGCTCAGTCGACCCTGCCCTCAAAATTTGCCTCTTACGGAAAGCCCCCCTACGCTGCTCTACAGTTTTCTGGCTCCAATCCCAAATGCGAGACCCCCCCCCCCAATTACCAAGATATGGTTCTACTATCGCCAGACACCTCTCCACCAGATTCTGGGGCTCTGCACCCCTAGCAGACCCACTCTTGTATCTACGCGGCGTGAGTCCTCTGCTTTGAGAATATTAGCTCACCCACCTCCATGAGGGAACCGCCAATGTCAGAGAGGAACTCAACCTTGCTACTGTGTTTCCTTTGCTACCCCTGAAATAAAGAGGAGCCCCCACTTTTTCCGTGAAATACCCCAGACCTATGCCTTTGAATGCCCAGATTCTTCAGGTTCTGAAGAGGTTCCTAGGCCCTCTTGCTGGACAATACCTTTTTCTTTTTTTACCCAGTCACTCCCATGTTTCTGCTACCCACCCCCTTTCCTCGCCTAGCCACCCTCCACTCCTTTAGAAGTCACCTCCAAATTCACCTTTCCTAGCGACACACCAGGTGGTTGTCAGAGGGGCCCACTGTCACCTGGAAATAAGTAGTGTTAGGGGCTATTTTTTCTTTCTTTTTTCCTGGTTGCCCCTTAAATTTCCCTGGGGACAGCTGGTGCTGTTCAGATCCCACGCCCTCCAAATCCACCAGTCCCCGAGTGGAGTTCACCCACGTTGTCACTAGTCCCCAACTGTGAACAGGCCCCCTACTAGTGGGAGCGCATCAGTCTGAGCTTCCGGCCATCCGGCTTCCGCGTCCTCCCCGGACTGCCTACAGCAGGCCCTCTTCCATCCCCGACGCCCCTCAACCTGTCCGGTCCTGTTGATCCGGCGACGGGTGGCGCTGGCTCCGGTTCCTCCCTCCTCACGGTCCCTCGCGAGAGGAGCTTCCCCCCAAACCCATATTGATGCCTTGGGCCCCCAGGAAGGAATGAGGGTGTTTGCAGAGCGCCCCGGTCCGGTGTAGTCCGAGCACTGGGCGAGGCGGCTGGACCGGGCGGAGTGGTGGCGGCGGTGGCGACAGCAGCTCCCCCTCCTCTGAGAGCCGGCCTGGGGGCGGGGCAGGGGGCGGAGACGCCGGAAAGAAGGTGGGGGGTGGCGGGAACAACTCGGAGGCGGAACCCCAGGGTTCCTTGGAGGCGGGCAGAGGGGCCAGAACCAGGCTGGGCTTGCGTGCATCTCGGCTTCGGAGGGCGGAGGGACGGGAAAGGGGCGCCACTGAGGCCAACTCTGGATTTGGGCAGGGAGAGACTGGACGTTAGATGAAATGGCTGACATTCTGAGACTGTAGAAGGAGACTGAGGACAGAAAGGAAAAGGGGGGAGGAACCAGAGAGATGGTGGTGATGGTGAGAGTGGACCGGGGCAAAAGCCGGCCTCCTTAAATTCCCTGCTTTTGAGTGAATCAGATCGTTTAGACCCGGTCTGCATATATCTCGCTCCTTTATCCTTTTTGTCAGCACATAGTCTCCCAGATATCGCCATTGACTCCTAAAGGTGAAAACCAAGAGGACGGCAGGGAGACGGTTGCCTTAGACTGTCCTGGGGCGGGAGGTGCGCTGGCGACCGATTGTAGGCGTGGACAGTCTGGTGCGGGGCAACCGGGGACGGGGAAGTATGGGAGGAACCGACGAGGCCTTTCCGTACCGGACCTTTGGGCACAGTCTGTTCCCCAGGAGAGACACGGGTAACCCTAAAAGCAGCTTTTGGCACTCAGGTTGGAGTGCTGCCTTCAGTGGGCCCCACCCCCACGCCAGCCAAGCCGCCCCCCTTGCGCGCTGCCTTGGCCTCCTCCACTGCTGCTCGCAGCGCCCCGGTGGGGTCCCCGCGGAGCCGGGCCAATGCCCCCAGCAGAGCGGAGGCGCCGGCTCCCGCACGGAGCTTCCGGCCGCTCAGAAAATAGTGGGGGAGCGTCCCGGCCTCGAGCACGCGGCCCAGCTCATCCAGCAGCCCGAGGCAGCAGGCGCCCGCGTTCTCGGGCCGCGCCAGGTAGAGCGCGGGGAGTCGCTCGCACGCCCAATAGAGCAGCGTCCTCAGCAGGTAGGGCGCTGCGGCGCGGGTCCCCGCCACCAGGGGGCGCAGCAGCGCCTGGGCCGCAGCGTGCGCCTGCCCCAGCGGCTCCGGGATGCGCGTCTTGAGCGCCAGCTCCTGGCGGGCAAAGCAGAGCTGCCAGCCCCAGGCGCCCGGTCCCTCGGTGCCGCCGCCGGGCACCAGATAAAAGGAGGCTGACTCGGGGACCAGAGGACCGGCCCAAGAGTGGCTCCTGGCCCCTTCGGGCCAGCCGGCCACGGACACCACGGGGATCAAGTCGAAGAGAAGCAGGCGGCGCGGGGGCCCTGGCGTGGCCAGGAGGACCGTGGTGAATCCCGCGTGGCGGGCGGCGTGCACCAGGCGCGGGGCACCAGGGACGGGGATCAGGGCCTCGGCCACTGCGGCCAGCGAAGCAAAGAACCAAGCAGCTACTTGGGCGGGACACAACGTGGGCCACCCTTCCGGCGCTTCAGACGGCTTCCCGACCGGGCTTCGGACGACAGCTGGCCTGGTGACGTCACCACACCGTGTCTTCAATGGTGGCAGAGCACCAAGATCAGTGACGTCAGGCCGCGGCGACTCGGGCCCTGAAACGTCACTCGGTGATTCTTCCGAAGACACCTGCGGCTCGGGCTCAGTGACGCGATCGTGCTGCCGGTCTGAGGAGCTCGGCTGGGCCATGGGACTGCCTTTGTCCTCGTTTCGGCGGATCAAACCCCATCCCGCTGGGACCGGAGGTCCCAGGCAATCCTGCCACGCCTCCTGGACCGAGCTTCCGCGCACCGACTCTGGGAGGTGGAGCCTGGCGTCACAGGACTCCAGGTCCAGTTGAAGCTCAGGCCCAGCGCCGTCCAGGGAAAACACGGGCACCAGGAGCGTGAAGCCGGCATCGTAGTGGGGCCCCCGGGTGTAGGGCCCCAGGGGTGCAGGCCCCAGATCCAGAGAACCCTCGCGAACCCCGCCACGAAGCAGCAAGAGTTCGGCCTGGGGAGGAAAGCGGGGGTCCCGGCGGTGAACGAGACCTAAGAGAGGAGAAGGCAAGGCTTGTGGGGGCGGGGCCCCAAACGGGGAGTGGGCGTGGCCTGGCTCGAGGGCTGGGCGCTCTCCCCAGGCCAGGAGGGTTACTTACTGAGCAGGGAGAAGACAAAGTCCTTGGCCTGCAGGAGATCTGACCCCGCTTTGGGCCCGTTGCTCCAGCTCTCCTGCACCCCCAGCTCCTGAATCAACTGGGTTAGTTCCTGAAGCTGGGCTCCGGAGCAGAAGTCGATGTCTGTGAGCGGCCGGGCTGGGGCCGGCGGCGGAGGGCCCCACCAGGAGGCACCCCCCCAGACCACAGAAGCCATGTGGCTCCACCGATGTGGGCTAGGGACCACACGGAAGGGGGTGGGGTAGGGGCCGCGTAGACCGGGCTATCGTTTCTTCGTGACCGAAAAAATCACCCTCGATCTCCCTCTTCCCAAGGCCTGCCCTAGACGCAGGCCACAGCTGGGTCTGCAGATGGCTCTAAATGTAATCTGTCTTCAAAACGAACAAATAAATCCTTCTCGATCTTTGTCCTTTTCTCTCATACAGGACCCCGCCCCCGAAGACTGGCTCATCTGACTCAGCAGGTGAAAAGTAGCTGCTTCCTCCCACGGGATGCAATCGCCAGTCTCTGCCGCCACCCGGCGACTCCCTTTGCCTCCCTCCTCTTACCTCTTTTCGGTAGAGGCTTATGGTCTACCTCTTAGGGGTAGCTGGTCAGGGTGGGGAAGAGAATGGATAGAGAGGGAGTCAACAGGTAACTTCTTCCTTTTGCCCACCTGGCCACGCCCCCAAATTACGTTCACGCCCCTCCCATCAGAGTGCTGTCGCTCCTTTCCCTTGCCCTTGGAGTTCTTGGCCTTTCTGGGAGTTGTAGTTTATTTCTGGATCTCCGGGGTATTGGAGCCACGCCTCCACATCCCTTCCTGCTCTGCCACAGCAGTGCCTGATGGAAGTCGTAGTTTCTATGGAGATAGGCTATTCTAAGTCTTGGTGAGCCCAGATTGGGCCAACCGGACAGTTATAGGGGTTGGGGTAGAGGAATAAGGGAATGGAGCTGAATACTCAGAAACCTCACTGCCCCCAAGTCCATTCCGAGTCCACTATTCCTAGTGACCCTATAGGACAGGATAGAACTGCGTGGGTGTCTGAGGCTGTAATAGTGAAGGGGGCAGAAAGCCTTACCTTTCTGTCACAGAGCAGCTGCTGGGTTTGAACTGCTGACCTTGTGCTTAGCAGCTCAGGGTGTGGCTTAGCACACCACCAAGACTCCTTACGGACGTGGATAAAAAGTAACACTGGGAGATGCACCGTTGAGTCTGGGGAGACATAAAAACCCTTGGGTAAGGTGACCGGATGTCCCGCTTTTGGGGGACAGTCCGGATTTTTAACAAATTTTCCCCAGTCCCGCAGCGTTTTTAAAAAGTCCTGATTTTTGGAAAGAATGCACGACAAGCTAGGGTATACGGTTTTCGGCTGCCATGTGGCTATTTCGCCAGTTTTATCAATGGTGTCTCACTTTACCAATGTTCAAATCTGGTCATGTACCCTTGGGTCCCAAGTGTGAGTAGAAGAGACTGGTCACTTAGCTCTGGAAGGGCTCTGCCATGCTCTTAGGGCTAATGTCCTCATTTCAGAGCCGAGGAAGCTGCAGCCTGGGAAAATTGCCTACGACTTATTCAATGTCACGGACCCAGGAAAGGTTTGGAAAGGGGCTCGCTCCCTGGCTGAGCATCTCCCTGAATTCGTGATGGTCGTGTAAAGTACACACACAGGAAGTGACTCAAGAGTGAGCATCTGATCCAGGGGAGAGAGAGCCATTTCAACTAGCAGTGACTCCCACACAGACACGCATGAGAGGTGGCAGAGAAAATGGAAACTCAAAGCAGGGCTTGGGCAAGGCAATGGAATATAGCTCTCAACAATATATGCTTTCAGGAACCAGGACACGGTTTTAAATGCCTGGTGGGGCCTGGGGACAAGACAATGGCATAGAAAGCTAGGAAATCAGGAATAGACTCACACAGAGATCAGACCAATTTATGGAATTGCCAGGACTTTGTACATCCTCTCTGCCTATTACTGCAGAGTGGGTAAGCCTAAGGCTATGGCCCAGACAATTAAGTAGGAAAACTAGAAAATTGGGAAGTCTATTAAGGGGGGAAAGATATAAAGCCTTGGGATGCAAATCACAAGGTCAGCAGTTCAAAACCACTACCCGATCCAAGGGGTTTTCAACGCGTCAAAAGATTGACAGTCTTGGAAACCCACAGAAGCAATTTGACCCTGTCTAATAGGGTCTCTATGAGTCAGAATTAACTTGATGGCGGTGAGAGTGTGTTCGATCAAGGAGAGGAGGCTCAATGAGAGGATCCAGGCCTGAGGCACCCAGGCCTCACAGAGGCCACACTTTCCCCTCAGCAACCAGGACTGAGGCCCTTTCAGTACCAAGAGTCCAAGACAGCCCAGGATTGGGGAGACCGGTTTCCATGCATCTGGTTGTGTGTGACCCCTGGAGTTCATGGATAATGCAAACGGTTAAACACTTGATGTGTTAGTCTGGTTTAACTAGAGAAACCAATCCAGAGACACTCATGTGTGTGAGCTTTATATCAACGAGTAATTGTATATTAAGAAAATATCCCAGCCCAGATCAAGTCCATATGTTTGGTATTAGCCCATAAGTCCAATATTAACCCATATGTCCGATACTAGTCCATAAATTCTTCTACAGATTCACGCAGCACATGCAACAGTGTCGAGAGCAGGAAGATCACAGGCCAGTGGGTGGAAAGTCTTGTGGAAGCATCTCAGCGCTGGCGAGGCTCTCCATATGGCTCTTCCAGCTCCAGGGCTCTGGCTACCATCAGCATAACTCCGTGTGGCCTGTCAACAGGAATGTGAAGCAGGGAGAGTGTGTGTGCCCCGCCTCCAGAGAGGAAGATGGGAGTTCCCAGAATCTTCAGGAGAAGGCCAGGCCCACACAGAGGCATCATTGGCTATGACCTGATTGACCGGCTAGACTCTGCCTCTTCCCGAAAGTTGACAGTAGATTATGTAACGGCCACACGACTACTAACCAAAATGGTGCCAGTGAAACCCACCTAGAGACCCACCTCAGGAATCTTGGTGTTGTAGTGGGTTTTGCCTTGGTTTGCTAACCATGAGGTCAAAACCATCAGCAGGTTCTCCAGAGACAGAGGCGGCTTTCTGCTCTTGGGAAGATCTACGACTTTGGAAATCCAAAGGGGCTCTTCTGCTGTCCCAGAGAGTCACTGTCAGTCAGAACCGACTAGACAGCAGTGTTTGGTTTGCAGGGGTAGGGAACCTTTTTTTCTGCCAAGTCTGGATATTTTCAACACCCTTCTCTGGCCATACTAGCCACACATTTAATTAGCTCCCCCCTAATGTGATGGGTGGATCTGCTTCTCTTTGGTGAGGCTTGTGATGTTAGCTGGTATTGGTGATTTCATGGGCCTTGTATGGCTGGCCTTCAGTATTTGACAATACTTCGAAGCTATGCGTAAGGCTTTGCAGCGGCTTCCTCCTCCTCCTTGTCTGGTCTTAGTCCGGAAACTCCGCCGAAACCTAGTCACATGGAGTAACCCTGTTGGCATTTGAAATACCAGTGACATAGCTTCCAGCATCACACAAGCCACCACAGTGTGACAAGCTGACCAACAAGTGGTGGACACATTGAGGAAAGCCCTCAGTGAGATGGATGGATACAGTGGCTTCATCAATAGATGGGCACAGCAATAGGAAGGGTTGTGAGGATGGCACAGGACCATGCACTGTCATGAGATGACTCGATGGTACCTAGCCATCTGCTTCCAAAAGGTCACAGCCATGAGAAGCTTATGGGAAACAGTTTCACTCACCCACTGGAGGGCGCCAGGAGTCAGAATCAAGTGTGCATGTTTTGGATTGTGATCCAAGAGGCCAGGTGAGGGACACTGACAACTGAGTCCTTTCTCTTGGTCTGGAGTAACCAGGCATCAGACATTCCTACATCTTACCTTCTCCCTGGGTGAGCAGCTCTGAGCTACCCTAAAAGGAAGTATGTTCTCTCAACAATGGGGGAGTTTTGAAGATGCTGGAGGTGGAACGGAAGGGAAAGGGAGGGAAGGCTCTCCACCCTAGAACTGGATCGCACTGCTGTCCAATAGGATTTTCTGTGATGGCGAAAATGTTCTAAATCTGAACGGTCCAAGAGAGTGGACACTAGCCCCATGTGAGCACTGAGGACATTGGGGTGTGGATTATGTGGCTAAGGAACGGATATTCATTTCCCCTAATCTTTAATTTCAACTCATATCAACCGCATCTGGCTAGTAGCTACTGTATCATATCAGACGATGTAGCCCAAGGGTCTTCTTTTTTAATCATTTTATTGGGGGCTCATACAACTCATCACAATCCATACATGCATCAATTGTGTCAAGCACATTTGTACATTCACTGCCCTCACCATTCTCAAAACATTTCCTCTCCACTTAAGCCCCTGGCATCAGCTCCTCATTTTCCCCTCCTTCCCTGCTTCCCCCTCCCTCATGAACACTTGATAATTTATGAATTATTTTGTCATATCTTTTTGTTTGTTTGTTTATTTTAATTTTTTAAAACATTTTATTAGGGGCTCATACAACTGTTATCCCAATCCATACACACATCAATTGTGTAAAGCGCATTTGTACATCGTTTCTCAAAACATTTTCTCTCCACTTAAACCCCCGACATTAGGTCCTCATTTTTCCCCTCCCTCCTCGCTACCTCCTCCCTCATCAGCCCTTGATAGTTTATAAATGGGTATTTTGTCATATCTTGCACTGTCTGACGTCTCCCCTCACCCACTTTTCTGTTGTCCGTCCCCCAGGGAGGAGGTCACATGTAGATCCTTGTCATCGGTTCCCTCTTTCCAACCCTCTCTCCCTCTACCCTCCCAGTATCGCCACTCACACCACTGGTCCTGAAGGGATCATCTGCCATGGATTCCCTGTATATCCAGTTCCTATCTGTACCAGTGTACATCCTCTGGTCTCGCCAGACTTGCCAGGAAGAATTCGTATCATGATAGTGGGGGCGGGGAGGAAGCATTTAGGAACTAGAGGAAAGTTGTATTTTTCATCATTGCTACATCGCACCCTGACTGGCTCGTCTCCTCCCCGAAGCCCTAGGGTCTTGAGGATGAGGAGTTTACACTAGAAAGGTCTAGAAGAGCAGCCAGGGTGGGGATAGTTCCAATCGTCACCCATGTCAGGGCTGGGGCTGGGGCTGAGACTGGGGCGAAAGGCCTCAAACCACCACCGAATGCATCTCTCGCATCTTTATTAGCGGTGTACCTTTTTCCCGCCTTTGTCCAAGCCCTTCATTACAAATTGATATCCCCACTCTTTGGTGGCCTCCTGCGAGTTGCCGGATGCTTCTTGTTGAGGGCGCTTGGGAGATAGAGCTTCACGCTTACCCTTCCCCACTGCTACTGGTGTCTGACGGCCATCAAAGATCACATGCCCTGATCGGGGTCCTGGTTCATGGCAGTGGACCTTCCAGTTGACTTTGGGAGGCACAGACATCTGTCGATAGTTCTGGCAGGCGGAAGCCACTGTATCCATTGGACGGTGTACCCAGTCTTGGCCACTTGCCCGCCGAGAAGACTGTAGCTCAATTAGTACAGGGATCTCTGAGAAGGTTTGTAGATCGTTGCAAATGGTCTGGGACTTGGAAGAGCTAGCGTTCTGATTGAGAGGGACTGAAAACCAAGATTTCTGCGGTTCGGTGTCAATCCAAGAGACCTCCTTGGAATCAAATGATTTCGTCAGGGATGAGGCCGACTTGGAGGTCTGAACGCGGCCTATGACTGGGACCGAGTCAATACCTAGAGCAAAGCGCGGGCTCTTGCACAGGCCTGGATCATTCTGGAGGGCAGATTTCTGAGAGAGAGGAGGAGTCTTGGGGAGGCCATCGTCTTGGGTAAGGGCTGGGCCCTCACGATGTCCAGGATCTTCAGGAATTTCTAAGTACTTGTGGATGTTAGGGTCTGGGGTTTGGCCTGGGTTCCTGTTCATGCCCACATCTTGTGCAAAGACGGTTTTCTTGTTGACCTGAGTAGCTTGCGTGTAGGCTGGGCTCTTGGGGAGGCTGGAGTCTTGAGGAGGCTCTGGATTCCTGTGGACCGCACCATCTTGGGTGAGGCCTGGATTCTTCGAGTCTCCTGAGTCTTGAGTAAGGTTTGAGTCTTTAGGAAGCCCAGAGGCTTGAGCAAAGTCCACACTTTTGTGGACACCATATTCTTGGGTTAGGTTTGAATTCCCGTGAACTCCTCCGGCATCTTGAGGAGGGCCTGTGTTTTTATAGGGGCCAGTTTCTTTGGAGAAGCCTTGATGTTTGTTGACCAAAGGCTCTCGGTTTAGACTTCTATAGACCCCAGAATTTCGCATAAAGCCTGGGGCTCTCTGAAAGCCAGAAATTTGGGTGACACATGGGCTCCTAATGGTGCTAGTGTCTTGTGTAGCCCTCTTTAGACAGCCAGAATCTCGAGTAATGCCTGGACTTGTGTGATAGCCAGAGCCTTGGGGAGGAACTGGGCCCTTGTAGAGACCTGGATGCTTATGGAGGCCTGGATCTTGGTTAAGGCCTGGTTTCCTATGAATTCTAGAGTCTTTTGAAAGACACGAGCTTCTTTGGAGGCCAAAGTCTTGGTTAAGGCCTTGGCTCTTATGAAGTTCAGAAGATTGGGGTTGGGTTGAGGGTTGGGAAATGGTGGCCTGTGGAGAAATGAGAACTTGGACCTGGGGAATGGATTGAGGAGACTTGGCATTTGGGAGAGTGGGGGGAGTCTGTATTGAGGCTAAAGGTTTCTGACAACTGGCGAGTTCAGGAAGGACAAAGGATCTGGGAGGGACAAGAGGTAGGGAGAGAGTGCATGGTGAAGGGAGGCTGTTCAGTGGGGTCTGGGCAGTGGTGGGAGAATGTAAGCCAAGGTGAGGCGTTGTGGGACCCTGTGAGTAGACCAGGAACTTGGGGTAGAACGGAGCCTGGGCGTCTGTGATTTTCTTCCCAGAACTGCAGGGATGGCTGTTGCAGTAAGGGAGGGCCATGGGCTGGACGAACTGGTCTTGACCATCATTTGAGATCTCCCAATCCATTTTCTCCAACTCCAGGTACCCCAGTAGGGACCCTGCAGGGGGGTTGAGACCACCCTCACTGTGTTGCTTTGATGTTTGCTCAGGTGCACAAGAACTCACCAGGTCCTGCCCTTCTTGGGCCCTGGAGGAGGTGCCTAAGTCCTTGCTGGGATACTCACAGTTCTTGGGACTGGACGCATGAGACTGCTCTTTTCCCCTGCAGGCATCATAGACCACATGTCCAGTGGAGGGGCCAGTTGGAACAGAGGTGAGGACAGGGACAGGAGCTGGGTTACTGGCAGGCAGAGCAGCAGTAACCTCGGAGGTGGCAGGTGTTTGGACAGGGGCTAGGTTAGGGACTAAGGCAAAAGTTTGAGAAGGACCTGGGACAGAGGTTGGGCCAGGGTCCTGCGGAGAGGTGTGGGTTAGAGCAGCATGGGCCAGGGTAGAGGTCGGGCCATTGGTTGAGGTGTGCTCAAAGGCACGGACTTGAGTTGACATGCGCTCAGAAGCATGGGCCGGGGAATGGGTCTTTGCCTGGAGGGGGCTATGGGTTTGGGTCTGGGCTGGGGTGTGCTTGGGGCTATGGGTCTGAGCGTGGGTATGGGTTGGAGTGTGCTCAGGGTTGTAGGAATGGGTGGAGCTGCGCTCAGGATCTGGGGTGTGGTCTGGGGCAGAGGTTAATGGGTGCTCAGGTTTGGAGGGCCGGCCATCGTGCTGGGTTTGGGTTGAAATGTGTTCAGGGTTGAGAGACTGGGCCTGAGTGGAGGTGCGGACTGTGGAGTCAGCCGCGGTCTGCACAGGATTCTGGGCCAAGGACTGGCTTGAAGACTGGGCCAGGCCTGGGGAGGAGGTCGGAGCTGGAGGTTTCCGTTTGCTCTCTTGGGGCAAAGGCAGTGGAGCCATGTCCAACTTGCCCATCTTCAGGTTGTGAGCCTTGAACTTGGCCATAGGGGCATGGAACTGGGAAGAATGCTCCGGCCTGGAGAAAAAGGAGACTTGGGGTCTTACAGGTGTTCCCAGAGGAGTCTCCCCAGCTCCCAGCATCTCCTCTTTCCACAGGCCCCACAGAGCCTCTGAGGGAGCCCCTGTGTGTCTACACTGAGTTGACATCCAGCAGCATTTAGGAGGCTTCTCTTCATTCACGTCTGGTATCCAGGAGTCGGGGTGACTAGAGTTTCCAAGTAGGAAGCTGGGGCGATGATGGAAGCGGGAAGAGACTCTTGAGCATAGGTTTTTGGGGTCCACGGAGCAGCATATACACACAGGATGGCTGCCTACAGAGCTGGGCTTCTTGTCTGCAGGGAGAAGTGGGTTGGGACAAAGCCTGGGTCCCTGAGAGGCTGAAAATGGGGAAAGAGCTAGGGTCAGGGGGAAGGAGAGTGGGCCACCCCCACCCCACCCCCACCCCGGCCTAGGCACACTTACCTTTGGGGAAAAAATGATGGAAAAGAATCCGTAAGGAGTTCTTCAGATGCCTCCAGAGCTGAGGGAAGCAGGGGAGGGGAGAGTCCAGAAGTCCAGCCCTTGTCTGGACACACCCCAGCAGCCATCCCACCTCAGCCCCTTGGAGACACCGGGGTCCCCCCCACCCTGCTGCCCAGACCCCGCCCTAACCAGAGTGACCACGTTGATCCCCACGTTGAGCAAGATGAAGCTGCCCAGAAGTAGAAGAATGGAGTCTCCTAGGTCCTGGCACTTCCTGGGGTTGGTGCCCGAACACACTTGGACTTCATGGTGGGCTCGCTCACCCATGGCCGGGGGAGGGGGGGTCCCAGGACTGCCTGGGTCCCCTGGCGCCCAACACCCCCCCACCACCACCACATGCTAGGTACCAGATTCTTCTGGTGGGGGAGGGGGGTGAAAGGCTGGGTCACAATGAGGCAGGCGGTGGGATCACAATGAGAGAGGAGGTGGTGAAAGGTCCAGGCTGGAGTTCCCTGGGAACTGGGCTTAGGGAACCTAAGCCTGGGGGTTAGCCAAAGCTGCTGCCCGCTCACCTTTCTCTGCTTCCTCCCTCAGTCCTGCCCGCCTCGGGCTCCCTCTTTCACACAGTTACTCATTCTGAGCCCCTTTCTGTCCCTTTTTCACTCCAGAAACTGACAGACCTTGGTTTTAGAGCCCTGGGGTGGAGCCCCTGGCTTTCCCCAGGGTGAGAGGGGGTGGGGGCATGCATTTGCCCAGACTAGAACTCCCCAAGCTGGAATCTAGCCGCCTCTTCTTGGATGGCTTCTGAGCCCCTTTGGGGACAGAGAGAGTTGAGCCAGATGGGGGTGAGTGCCCAGAGACCAATGATTGGGAGCGTGCAGCTGCAGGGGCCAGAAACACTGGCATCTGAAAGTCAAGGGCAGGGGTCCAGAGTGGCAGAAGGGGCAGTGCTTGCAAAGTGCAGACCACTCCAGTGTCTCCTGGACTCAGTGTCTCTTTATTTCTTTCTCCACGCCCGACCCCGCGACCTGCCCTTGCCTCGCCTGCTGGTCAGCTAAGTCTCCCAGCCCGGCTATGGTGCAGAGAGGGCCTGGAGGCTGAGGTGGAAGGTGGTGGCAAGGAGCTGGCCCGGACTCGGCCCTCTTGCACTTGTCTCTTCAGCTCCAGGCTGTCGTACACCTGGTAGTTGGTATTGCCCCCCGGGCTCCGGCTGAGTGGGATGAAGGGGGTTGGGGTTGGGGCAGGCTCCGCCTGGGCCACAGACAAGGGCTGGGAGGTGTGATGGAGCAGGGTCGAGCCAGGGGCTGGGCCCCGGTGGCAGGAGACCTCACCCAACATGGTGAGGGAGGTAGAGGTGGTCAGAAGATGCCGACCGGGCAGTGTTTCAGTCCACTCGGCCACCCGGCGCCGAGCCTCATGGGGCTCCCGAGAGCTATATGGCAAGTGTCCTGAGGATGGGTGGGGGCTGCGGTTGGGCTGGCTATAAGCGTGGCTAGGGTGAGCCCGCCGGTGGGACTGTGGGGAATAGTGATCCCGGTAGCCCTGGGCTTCGGGTCGGGTTGAGCTCCGGGGTACCAGGGGGGGCGGCTCAGGGCAATCTAGACCTCTCCGCCGCTGCTCCCAGGAGTCATAGATTAGGTGACCCCGAGAGGGTTGAGGGCTATGTCCCCCAGGGACCCAGGCGGGGGTGGGGGGCAGGCGGCACGTCGGTTGAGGAGTGGAGGCCCAGTGTTCAGCCTCCACGTTGCCCCAAACGTGGGATTGTGAGCAACGGGGGCCAAAGGTCTGCAGCCTCAGCTCAGACTTGGCCTCCACTCGCTTGGGTATGCGACGCAGCTCAGGGGACATGTAGACTGAGGGTGGAGGCAGACTAGCCAGGATGCGGTTCTGTTGGCTCCACAGGCCTGGCCTGGAAGGCAGGCCCAACCTGGGATAGAGTCCTCTCCAGCCCCCTGGTGGGTGCGTGGGGTGTGGCCGGTCATCCTGGGTGTTTTCCTCCGGGTAGGAGTCCTGATCCTCCCTGCCCAAGCAAGGCCTGGGCTGCAGGGGTGACGGCTGGTGCCTGTGATGCAGGCCACTGAACACTGGGTGACCATGGGGGAACGGTCTGTAGTTCCCAGGCCTTTGCTGGTGGCCGCAGGGGTGGCGGCCGTGGTAGTGGTGGTCCCGGCGTCTGCGGCGCCTGCGCCGGGGGCGTCTTCGGCAGAGAGGGAAGTTGTGGAGGTGGTTGCCAAGGTGATAGGAAGAGGAAGAGCAGTGGGTGGACTGGGTCATTTTCACCTCAACAGGGTCCAGGGTGCAGTGAATGTGGACATCCCTGGCTGGGCTCTGACACGGATCTTCGGGAAAGTTTGGATCAGACCGGAAGGCATCTGGGGAAGGCAAGAGTCCCCGAGAGGTCAGGAGCTGTCAGAAGAGGTCAGGCTTGGGAGTACCCAGCCCTGGGTTTCTAGGAATTGCAGTTGGAGGGTCCCCACCCCTCTCGCTGCCATACTTACTTCTCTGATTAATCCAAAAGATCTTGTCTAAGACATTCCGGAACCTATGCCACATCTGGTGGTGGGGAGGGGGACAGTGAAGGCCAGATTCCCCAGCCCCAGCCCCTGACCCCCTCCCAGCCAAGACCACTCCCACAAGTGGAGGTGCCAGCTGCAACTCCCTCCCCTGCTCCCCCCAACAGACCCGGTCCGACACAAGCACACTCCCTCAGCCTTGTCCACCCTTAGCATCTGCTTGCGGCCATCACTGACCACAGTTGCCATGTTGACCCCAATGTTGACAAGAATGATCAGGCCCAGAAGCAGGAGGAGGAAGTCCTCAGTGTCCTGGGGGCTTTCTTGGTCTTGATTACAGCACCCCAGGGCATCATAGGGCTGGTCTCCCATGGTGGGGGGGGGTCCTAGGGCCACCTGGGCCGTGCACCCCCCCACCAGCCCCGGCCCACACTGCACTCATGTCAAGATTTGGGGACCCCCTCCTGAGTTGGGGAGGAGCCAGGTCATAATGAGGCAAATTGCAGGGCGTCACAATGTAGAGGTGGCAGCACTTTTGTCTCCTCTGTCAGCCCCTTACATGACCATCCCTACCCTTGTTGCCCACTTACGAAGTCCAGCCCCGAGACTATCCTGACTTGGTCTGTCTGTCTGTCTGCCTCCACGGGAGCTTGCGCGACCTTGCACCTGACCCCTGTTAGCTACAGTCACAAGATAGCCTTCCCAGAGGCAGACCCATGCACGGGAGAGTTCTTGCCCTTCATTGTTCTTCTCCCTTGTGCCGTGGCCCCTTGCCCTGTGTCCCCCCTAGAGCTCTCAGCTCGGGTGACGGGATGGATGGATGATTGTCGGGGTCCAGCCCGAGGTCACGCTGCTGCATCATTCCTCTGACATCCAGGGATTGAAGTTCTACGATGGGGGATCACCGAGCCCACTTCTTGAAACTTTAAATGGAGGTTGCTGCCCCTGCCACCCACAGCCATGATGCCGGTCCTTCCTGACAAACCGCGAGGAGCCGTGTGTGTGTGTGTGTGTGTGTGTGTGTGTGTGTGATCCTCAAGGTCAGCAGTTGTTGAAACTGTTAGCCGCTCAGCGGGAGAAGGACAAGGCCTTTCCACTCCCATCAAGAGTGACAGTCTGTAGGGTTGTCCTGTAGGGTTGCCACGAGGAGGCCTCCACTGACATCAGTCAGCGTTTGTTTGTTAACCAACTGATGGTCTGCTGACTCATCCTTTCTCAAAACTGTCAACGACCCCTTAAGATAATCACCTGGAGCCCACAAAGCACAAAACAGATGTAACTGCTGATAGGACAGGCCGATGCTTCTCTTTACACCAGGCGCCCCACTGGCTGGGAGCGGTGGAAGAGGCACTCGGCGGCCCTCAGTGGGAAGACACAGGGACCCACTCACCAGAAACAGAATGTGGGGAAAGGACAGCCTTGCCCATCACTCGTCCTCCCCAACCTAGAGGGGCACTCAATTCATTCCCACCAAATGGAATCCACTTACATCCATCGAAAGTGTTGGCTGAGCGTAAACCAACATAGCAGCAGGGTAATTACTTCATGAAGGTCGGCCAGTTCCAGAAACCCATCAGGTGTGTACGGTGAGTCCAACTCCGTTAGCCTGGATGCACTCACCTGGTTCTGTGTGCATGTGCGTGTGCGTGCCCGTGACCCCTCTAGGCCTTTGGTTCTCTGGACGAAAGTCTACCTGGAGAACGGAGGACAGTGAGAGATTCTGGTGGGCCAGGCTGGCAATAAGAAGCCGCCTGCAGGAACAGGGAGATGGAACATCTGGGGCCACCAGCTTGATCCTTGATGTCTGCGCGACCAAGAGCCAGTCACTAGACCTCTGCGTCTCCATCTTTTCTATTTGTGACATGGGAGTGTTAACGAAGGGATGGGGGCCCGGGGACCCTGATATTTTAGTGAGGCAACGCTTGAGGAAATGTCTCTGGATCGGCTTCAGGTGCTGCCTGGGAAACGCAGCGCGGTCTAAGGTACTCTCATGTCCCCTTGGGAGAAGCAGGTCCTATGAGGGAGTGACTGTCCCCACCTCACCGGTGACTACAGCTCAAAGCTGGACTCTGCCAGAGACCACTGAGGGACTGTGGACATGGGGATGGGGGGGGCGGTCCTCCCCTGAAGCGCAAGACTGGCTGAGGATCTGGGCTGGCATCCGGGGGGCTTTTCTGGACACTAAAGCAAGCAGTGGAGAGGCAGGTGGGAGCCGTGGAACCAGGCAGGGTCTAGGAAAAGGCTGAGGGCAGGGTCTGTTGAGGGCAAGAGGTGGATTAGGGCCTCAAGGCTCACCGTGCCCTGTTGCCAGGGAGATCATTCCCTTAGCAACCAGAGTGTCTAGGTGCCATGCCTGCAACCCACACACAGCAACACGAACCACCACCTCTCTTTTTTATTTCCCCCGTTACCTCCCCGCCAGGGGACGGTAGACCCAGGCCTGGCTCGTGCCTTCGGCGGTGTTGGACCTGGAGGGCATGGGGTAACAGTGGGACAGGGCCTCCACTTCCCGTGTCAGCTCCCGCAGCCGCCGCCTCACGTCCCGGGCATCATAGGACACTCGGAAAGAGGATCGTCGACGGGGAATATCCGGGACGATCGCTGGGCCCAGAACAGGCGGTGGGGCCGGCGGGCAGGGCGCGTCCTCCTCCGCCACCCCACTGTTGTTATGGTTTAGGGCCTCGTGGCTGGGCGGTGGGGGGTTCACGGAGTACACATAGGCCTCTAGGTCCATCTCTGACCGGACCTCTGTTTTGAGGGGCCTTTCTGATACGGTCTGCTGGAAGCGGATGGTCTGGGCAGGTGGCCCCATCGCGTCCTGGGCCCAGGGGTCCCAGGCTCCCTGGGTGGCTTGGAAGCCTTCCCAGTGGTCCGAGCAATCCCAGTTGTGGGAGCAGATTGCCGGGTGCTGATCGTCATCGTCGGTGTCGGGGCACCAGTTGGCCAGGTGGTGGGCACGGTGCATCGGAGTGTCTCGACGGCGGTGGCGGCACGTGGGTGGGGGGGCCACAGACATTTTCACAGGGTCCATGGTGCAGCGGAGATGGACTGGAGGGGGGCTTTTCTTCCTTGAGGGCTGATGGGTGGTCTGCTTTCCACGTGTGGATGACTTAAGAGCTTCTGTAGGTGGGGGAGAGGTGAGGGGCCTTGTGGGCCGGCTGACTGCTAGAGGGGCGGGACTCTGCACCGCAGGGGAGCCTGAAAGGAGGGGCAGTCAGCGAAAGCTGGGGCCGGTTTCCTACAGCCCAAACCCGACCCTGCTTACCTTTCACACAAATATAATGGAACCCTTGGCGTAAGAAGCAACGGAGTCTGTGCCAGAGCTAGGCAGGGGAGTACACAGTGACCCCAAGGTCCATCCCCCCCCCCCCATCTCCCTCCCTCCCGCCTGGCACCCCCCTGACCAGGGTCACCATGTTGATGCCAATGTTGATGCAGATGATGAGGCCCAGGAGTAGCAGGATGGAGTTGCCCAGATCCTGGCAGCTGTTGGTGGGGGAGTTGTGATACGATGCCCACTCAGGCTGTGGCTGCTTAGCTATGGCCATGGGGGTCCTCAGGGCCACCTGGGCCCCTAGGCCCCCAGCCCACTATGTCTGCTCCGTGCATCAGCTCAGCTTACCTGTCCCTGGGGCTCCTGGGAGCAAGCGGGTCACAATGACGCTGAGGATGCTCCTCACAATGGGCCAAGGGCTCCACTTGGCGTCCTGGCCCCAGGTGTGACCCTCCAGCCGGCACACGTGTAGCAGCAGAGGGTCAACTCCGCACCGAAAAGCGAGTCAGCTGACAAGGAGGCCAGCCCACAGATTCCCTTTGACCTCTGCCCGGCCCCTCCCCCTCCAAGCCAGGGTCCTGTCCTAACTCCCCAAACAACCCATTCATTACCTGGGCAATCACCCTCAGCCCCTACTCTCCCTTCTCTGAGGCCATGGGAGAGCCATTCCCTGGAAAGGAGGGGCGGGTAGTCGGACAGGGGGTGGGCCCTCTTCAGTCCCCTCACCCCTCACATCACAGCAGTCTCGACCAACAGTTAAACTTTTATATTTACAATATTCTCTTCATCTTTTGCCAGGTTTAAAAATGTGGACAGAGCCGCAGGGGGGACAGGGTTGTCAGGGGAATTATTCTGGGGGGAGGGGCTGGGCATCAGAGTCCGTGGCTGAATCATGGGGTCCCCCAGCCCCCCTCCCATGCCCCAATTCGGGGGAGGGGCATCTGTCTACAGGGTTCGGGGCCCAGGGGCCCTACCATTTGGAGAGCATGACTGTTTGCAGAGGAGCTGAACAGGCAGGGGAAGGGACCAGAAAAGAACTAGAGTTCCATGGGTGAAGGTGGGAGGGAAGACAGACAATCGGGAGGCAAAGTTCTGGGGAATCAAGACTAGGGGTTCTGGCTTTGGGTGTCAATGGAGGACAGCACCCACCCCCTACCCAGGTTTGGCACCGGTGTCTCACAAAGGCCAGCAGACCAGGGTCTCTCCTCGCTTGTTTTTCCTCTCCCTCGAGGCTCAAACTCTTCCTCCTCAGGGCCCCCCAGGGCCGTCACCGCCCACATTTCCTTCCAAATTCTTCCCGCTGGTTGTCAGCCCAGGTCTCACTCCCCAACTCCCACCCCACCCAGTACGCCTTCCACCTGTTTCTCAGCCCCAGCTGATCTCATCCTCTCCCCAACCCAGCTCTCCCTTCCACTGCTCTTTTCCCGGGTCCTGGAGGCTGGGGCAGGGCAGGGGAGGAGGTTGCTCTGAGATGGGACAGGTTCAAAGAGGGAGACAGGGATGGAGTAGGTTGGGGCAGAAAGGAGGGATGAGTCATGGTGACGAGAGACACACACTAGGCTCTTTACCTGCTTCCACCCCACCCCCACCCCTGGGTCCCCTGCCCTGGTCCAGGACTGGGGAATCCTTGGCACATTCGGGGAAACCTCTTCTGCCCACTCAAACCCACCTCCCCGGTTTGGCACATGTGAGCGACGGTCCGAGGACTGAGGGAGAAGGCTGTCCTCAGACCCTGGGTGAGGACTTTGGTCAAACATGCACGGCCCCTGTGGGTGGCCCCCCTCCACTCTGCATCTCTGGGGCAGCAAGGGGCAGTGCTGTCCCCCCTCAGGATTTGGATATCTCCCCCTCCCCGCTCCAGCATCTGTCATTTCCAGTCTGTTGCTGCCTGCTCTGTGGGGAGAAACGGAATGCTAGGTCTGAGGCCCAGGGGGGTGCAGGGAAGTGCTGGCGAGAAGGGGCTGCCTGCGTGGGAAAGCACGAGCAAGAATGTGTGTCCACTGAGAGAAAGGCGTCCTGGGGCCCCTGGGAGAGCAAGTTCTCAGGCAGCACCTCCAGGCATGGATCTGCTCCCTCTCCCCCCACCCCCGACAGGAAACCGTCGCCATTGTCCGTGGAAGGCTCCGGCCCACCCGGGAGAACATGCTGTTCGACTCGTGCCAGGGGGATCGGCATGCTTCACTAGGGGCGGGGGGCAAGGGGGAGGGCCTGTGACTTCATCATCCTGCTTCCCAGTACCACCCTGCACTGTCTGGTGGCCAGGCCCACAGCGCGCCTCCCACACACGACTTCCAGGGTCTCCAGAGGGTGGGGAGGGAGGGCGAGGTGGGAGAAGGCATGAGGGAACAGGACGCAGGGGCACAAACCCCTGCAGAAATTCTTTGAGGGGGCCAGCATGTGTCCAGGGCAGCAAAAAAAACCTCACCCTGCACATGGGAAAATACACCCCCTCATGAGAAAGCACCCCCCATGTCACCACACACCCGAAGGCTGGTGTCCTGGGGGAGGGGTAAAAACACCCCCCCCTCCAGTTGTCCAAAGGCCTAGGTCCAGAGAAGAGCACGGGGATGTCACCCATCCCCGAGAGGAGATCGAGTCCTCCTCCACGCTCCTCCACGAGGGAGAACTCCATACGAGAAAAGCCCCGTGGCCGAGTCCTCCTCCCTCCCTCGGAGAGGCGCTTCCCACTGGGGCCGGGGAGGGCTGGGGAGGACGGCCTCCCCCAGCTGCCCCCTATACCCGAGTTGTGGAGTGAGGGTGGGGTAGCGTGTTGTTGTGGCTGGTAGCAGTTGGGGGAGGTGGGGGGAAGGGCCCAAAAGGGTGAAGGGATGGGGGCGGTGGAGGCGGGGGTGGCCCCAGCCCACTGGGCAGCAGGGTCAGGGCCCCCGGGGCCAAGAGAGGCACATCGTCCGGTGCCCGGCGCAGGGCCAGGGTATAGTCGGGTGGACAGGCAGGGCGCAGGGTCTCAGCAGGGTCTGCTCCGACGCCACCACCCCGCTTCAGCTGCAATGACACGAGCTCCTCCTCTGGGGGCAGCTCCCGGCCAGCAGCAGGGAGCAGGGGGCCCCCACCGGGCCCGCCAGAGCCTGAGCCCCCAGGTGGACTGAGCCGCCTGCACCGGAGCTCCTGCCGCCGGTCCCGCTTGTAGTACAGCGCAGCGAAGGCGAGGATGTTGAGGAAGAGGAGGGAGGCACCCACTGCCACGGTGACGCTGAGCTCCGTGGAGTAGTCCCGGGAGTCCCCAGGGAAACGGTCGTAGGCCCTGGGGCCTGGCTCAAGATCCGGCTCAGGCGGCTGGGTAGCAGGGGGCGGAGGTCGGCGTGTGCCTGGGGCACCGGGGGGTGGGCGAGGCGGCCAGCGCGTGGCGTAGGGAGGCAGGCGCGTGGTGGTGGTGAAGAGCTCCGTGTGCAGGTTGTGCAAATGGGGCACCAGCTCCAGCCAGAAGGCCACCTTATTGGCGCGGTAGTTGTCTCGCACGCGTGGCTTGAGGCCGATGTGCAGGTACTGCTTCTCCTTGCTGTTGAACTTGCTCCACACCACCTCCTCGAAGCGGTTGGGCTTGGTGTGGATAAACTTGGTGTCCTGCGGCACTGGCTGGTTGGGGTCACTGTGGGCACAGGAGGGTAGGAAAAGGTGCAATGATGACCAGGCTCAGGCGGGGAGATGGGGTGGGCAGGAGGGAGACAGACAGACAGATGCCCAAAACCAGGGAGACAGGAAGAAAGGCAGAGATCAAGATGTTAAACGCTGAGGCAGAGATGGAGAGGAGATACGGCCAGCCAGAGAGAAAAATGATCCGCCAGAGACAGACAGACAGACAGATGGATGCAGAGAAACTGCCAGAGGGTGCACGGAGGCATGGACAGGCAGAAATGGGCGAGCAAGAGACAGAGGGGCAGCCGGGGGGACTGGGGGCACCAGCAGGCACTCAGAGGTAGCAAAGGCAAACAACTCAAAGAAGGCCGAGGGAAGGATGGCTGGGCCTTTCACAAGACGGAGGGAGACATTGAGACTGAAATAAAGCAACGGCCACGGCCCCATCCACATAACTGATCACAGAGAGCCAAGCAGTCAGACGGGGCGGGGAGTGGGGGGTGGGTGCGGAGCAGAGGCACTCAGAGAGGAAAAAAAGATGGGTAGGCGCGGGAGGGAAGGAGAGGCAGACACCAGATGAAGCTGTAGAAGGAGCCCAGCCCAAGGAGCACTGGGTGCTATTCTGCAGACTCGCAGACACTCAGCTCAGCGCCTGACAAAAGGCAGGTGTCCAGCAGGTGTCGGAGATGAGCAAGCGAGAAGGGAAAGGCAAGAGTGAGTCTCCCTCCTAGGAGGGAGGCTGTGGCTTATGCTTGCAGGGAGCACCCCAACCCAGCCCCCTGGGCCCTCACCCAGTCTTGGCAAAGTTGGTCCAGTAGGTCATGACCACGGCGCTGAGCATAACATCATTCTTGGAGAAGTTGCAGGGGAAGAGGTCAGTGGCCCCCACCATGGGCACGCCGAAGACGTAGGGCAGCTCGTCCCCGTGGGCCGCATCTGCCCACTCGGGCCGGCCCTCAGCCTGGCAGTGGTGGTAGAAGGTGTAGAAGTAGACAGGGGACTGGTAGTCGGCATGCAGCTTGGCGGTGGCCACCGCTGGGGCCACCCACTGGTGGTCAGTAAAGAGTGCCAGCAAGGTCTTCCGCCGCATCTCGCCGTTGTCCCGGTCGGCCCAGTCCGTGTACATAAACTTGATGGTCTCCCGCAGCACGTCCTTGCCCTCGGGGTAGCCATACAGGTTGTCCACAAAGTTGGAGACGGTGAAGTCGAAGGCGCTGGCCGACACGCCGTCCTCGCTCTCCGCCGAGTCCTCCACGAACTTGAGGCCCTCGCCCTGGTTGACGCCGATGAGCATGTCGTAGTTGAGGAATTCTCCCTGCTGCATGAGGATCTCGGGGTCGTCCGGGACCACGTCACCATCCACCACGGGCCCAAAGGCAATGTGATAGCTAGGGAGAAGGGGTCAGAGTCTTGTCAACCTGCCTTCTCTCTGGCTGGCTGAGCCCGCGGCCGGGCTCCTCCCCTGGCCTGGAAGACCCTTTCCCCAACTTGAGCAATGCCTGTGAGACGTGCCCTCCGTGGGCTTTGTGGCACCCAGGAACACGTGCTTTGCTGCAGCACTGCAGCTTAGGGGAGGTTTCCAAGAGGCAGGAGCCCTAGAGGGGCCTGAAGCCCACCTCTCCTCTTTGCCAAATGGAATGTCTGCGATCCCCTCTCACCTCAACCTCCTGGGAGCCAGCAAAGAGTGATGACCTGGACCCGGCCCTCACCCACCCCCATACCGGGCAGGCTGCACGTCCTGGTCCACCAGCTCTCTGGAAGGCTTCCTGCGCAGGCACTCCACGGCTTCGGCGCTGTCCTCCCGGTCACAGCCCACCTTGGCCGCCAGCAGCCGCGTATACTTGAGCGGCTGGTAGTTGACCGACCAGCTGGAGATGGCCGTTCCGCTCTGGGCGATGGCCTTCTGGAACAGTCCTGGTGGGGTAGGGATGTGAGCGCTCAGTCCTGAGGGGAAGGGGCGTGGCTCAGGGAAGGGAGGTGGGGAGGTTGCTGGTACCTTCTGAATGGTGAGATAGGATCAGAAGGTTAACACAGGAGGCCCCTGCCCCCGAGCCAAAGATGGTGATGCGCTCGGGGTCCCCCCCGAAGTGGGCAATGTTTTCACTGAGCCAGCGCAGTGCCTGGATCTGGTCCAACAGCCCGTAGTTGCCTTTTGCCGCTTGATCCCCAGTGCTGAGAAAACCTGTCCGAGGAGAGGAAGAACGGGGCTCCTTGGGGAATGTTACAGCAGCCCTGTCCCCTTTCTGGGCAGCTCAGGGCCGCCCAGAAGCCATTCTGAGGGGTTTCAGGATCCCCCGCCCACCAGGCCCGCCTCCGCTCCAGGCTCCCGCCCCCCCAAATTGGCTGCCCACCCTCACCGAGCACCCCAAGCCTGTAGTTGAGCGTGGCTACGATGACATTGCCATAGGCGGCCAGGACGGAGCCGTCGAACATGTTTCCCGTGCCCTCCATGTAGGAGCCACCGTGCAGAAACAGCATCACAGGCTTCTTCCCCGAGTCCCGGATATCTGCGGGGGTCGGGTGGGGTGGGGGTGCGGGCCAGGAGGTGAGGGACAGGGACACAGTCAGACCCACCAGAAGCAGTATCGCCTAGCTCCCAGGCCGGGAAGCTCAGGGAACATGTCATTCCCGTCCCTGGGGGGCAAGACCGGATTCCCCTCCATCCCTCCCCATCTAGCTCTGGCGGGAGTTCTCTCCCCACCCCTGCCAGCCTGCCATCGCACTTCTCCAAGGCCGCGCACAACTCCGAAGAAGGGTAACCCAGGTGGGGGTGGGGTGGCCCTCTTCCAGGCACCCCCTGGGACCAAGGAACCTCCTGCTGTCAATGCCCACATCAAGTGGCCCTCCTGCTCCCAGGCAGGGCGCGCTCCAAGGCTGGAGCTAGACCTGGAGACACGGAGGCTCCTGACTTTTCCTCGGGCCTTGGGCCTCTCAGCTCCATGTGGTCCCCTGGTCTGTGATGAGGGGGTGCTGGGCCCTAGGGTCCCTGGGGGGTTGGTCTCCTCCCCGCCCTAATTCCTTTCTAGGTCACCTCCCTAGTTACCATGGCAACCCCCAGCTTAATTAATGTGGCAAGAGGCAGGGTGGGAAAGAAGAGCCTGCTTAATGAAGCAGGGTGCAGGCTCCAATCTCCGGACCCCAGACTGGCCTGAGCCCTGGGTTCCGCCCTGCACTTAACTCTCGTCCTTCCCCAACAGACTCCATAAAGCACCGCTACAAGATGCAGTAGGTGTTCAGGGGCTCCAGGCAGGTCTGAAGGGCAACGGATTCGGAAAGGCGTGAGGGTCTGTGAAGGTCTCCAAGCTAGAATACCAGCCCCTCTCCGGCAGGATTTCCCAGGACTCAGCACGGTGCCAGGGCTGAGGTTCACCTCTGACTCAATAGGCCCTCCTCTTCTGTGGCACCGAAGTATCTGACTACTCGGGCCCTCCACCAACAAGACCTGGGCGGTGCCCATAGCCGGTGCCCAGCATGTCTGCCCGCATCCCTCATCCAGCTAGAAATTTCCTTCCCACCCGGGCAACTAGCAGGTCATAAAGACACTCCCACGGACAACCACCCCCGCCCTGCGCCCCCTCCTCCGTGGCGGTCCCTGTCTTACGTGACCTCCTTGCCACTCTCTCTTCCATGACTACTTTGGCCAGGGTGTCCTTCACTTTGAGTGTCCTGCGAGCAGCTTCAAAGCTGAACTCTCCTTTCTTTTAAGGCCCTGTCCTATACATTCTCCAAGGGGGCTTACCCTTCTCCCCACCCTGCACCTCCACCAGGGCTCCCAGTGTGGGGGTAGGGGAGTCAGAAGGGGAAAGAGCAGGAGGGGGGGCCGGGGCAACAAGATCTCAAAACCAACAACAAAAAAACAGCATCAAGAAAGAAGAAGAAAGAAAGAAAAAAAAAACAACCAAAAAGCAAGAAGCTCTCGGGGGCAGATTCAACAAGAAAAGAAAAAACCAAAAAGAAAAAAAGAAAAATCCATTTTGGAAAACAAGAAAAAAGTTCTTTGCATTTCTCAAAATTTTGTGGTGAAACTTCAAGATAGTGGGCCCTGCTTTCAAAAATTTCCAAATTCTTCCATTCACCTCAAATGTTTTGCACTTTCTGCATCTGCCAGGCTTTTGGAAATTAAGAGCAGGTTTCTGATGTTTCCATCATATCAGTTTGCCAACTCAATTTTTTTAATTCAAATATTGTTTTGCTCCAAATTAAAATGGCTTGTCAAATATGACATTTCTCAAATTTTGAAATCGTCCAAATTTCCTTCAACAGGTTATCCAATTCATTTGTTTGCTTCCCTGACATTCCAATTTCTTTTTTCCGTTCAACTGAATTTCACCATGTTTAGCTTTTCCTACAGGTTTTCTAATGTGTCCATCATTCAAATTTTGTTTAAAGTTTTCAGGATTCGTTGTTCCAATTGTTAAAATTTTTTCTTTTCTTTTTTGATTTTAGTTGGGAGAACGACTGAGGGGGCTTGGAGGGCTGTGGGGACATTTAGTAAGGGGGCGGGGCCGTGAGCGTCCTCTTATCAGCAACCACATGCAGCCGCGGGATTTTTAAATCTACCTGTGTCTGGCGGATTGAGCGTCGCCTCGTCACGTTTTTTTGTGAGCGGACCTAAGACCGGGAACACAAAACAGAGAAAAAAGGACAATTTTGTGGGGAAAGATGGGGGTCGGGGGGAGGTGGTGGATGGGGAGGGGAGGAGAGAAAGCAGAAAAGGGGAGGGTAGGGGCAGAAAAAAATAAGCCAAAAAAGCAAAATTTGTTTGCAAGAAAAAGAAATCAAGAAAAGAGAAAAACGTTTCTATAACCCAATTTTGTTCCCCTCCCCAGAAAAAGTCATGCCCCAAAGAAAAGGCTGGTTTTGGGGGGTGGGGTGCCTGAGTGGGCTGAGGCCTGTCTTAAGACACAGGGACTTGGCTGGAAGGGATTTGGCTTGTCCGTGTGTTTGCTAATTGCTGGAAATGAAACAGTGTTAGAGGTAAGGGGAAGGGAGGGGGAGCCCAAAGGGAGCCCAAGTCCAACCCCTTGCCACTTCTCACACAGGCCCCTCCAGGGCCAGCAAACAGCCTGCCTGCCCCCCAGGCTGCAGAAAGGGCAGGTGAGGAGGGGAGACTGCTCTGGACCACTCTGGAGGGCAGAGGGCAGAAAGGAGTTATGGGGCTGCCCACCCCACTCCTATAACCCCTGGAAGCCCTCAGCTCCCCACTGGAGGGCTATAGGTAGGTCAGCTAGGGCTACCTGCCCACCTACCCAGCCTTTTGCCAGCTAACTGTCTCTTCCATCCATATTCACAGGCCTGGCTCCTCACCCCATCTTCCCAAGGTGGGGTGAAGCAGGGAAAGGGGTCATCAGGTCTTGCCCTCCACTCGGCCTCCCCCCCCCCCCCCCCCACCAAACTTACCCCATACCCAGGCCTACTGCCCTCACCACCGAACAGGAAATTTCCCACTAGGGGTACCACCCTCTTGCCCCATCCAAGCATTCACGTCAAACCCACTGCCAAATTTGGGGTTCAGTCCTCAAGCAGGAAATAGGAAACAGTGCCCTGAGAACAACCCGACACATAAGGTGCCAGGAGGGGCTGGGAGGCAGAAAGTGCGCCCACAGACAGGAAAGACCTCAGACTGGGCCAGAGATTTCCTCCAGGCTTTTTCCAGAGTGGGGGGTGGGGGTGGGGGACAGCTGGCACCCAGAGGCCTAAAGGGATGGGTCACCAAGATCTAGGCCAGCCTCCGGAAGCTTTCTCCCATCTGGCAACCCACCCCCACAGGAACCCACTGGCAACAGGGCCTGTCCTCTGTAAGCTGCTGAGAGCGGGATGAAGTTAGCAGGGCATGCATGCGTGTGAGGATGCCGTGTGTGTGTGTGTGTGTGTGTGTGTGTGTGTGTGGCCAACCTCTTCTTCCTAAAGCTGTTGTGCAGATTCAGTGAGGTCACCTGAATGTGACAGGCCTCAAGCAGGTCTGTCATAAGCGATGGTTAAAAATACAGAAGGTGTGGGCATGGGCGGCATGAGGGTGCATAATTTGCCTGGAGGTGTTGCGGTGGACAGTCCATTAGTGTAAAGTGTTGATTGGGCATTTCACATGGGGGGAGGTGTGTGACAAGAGATAATCCCCGTGAGCAGGATGTTGGAGTAGACAGCCTATGCGAAGGTGTGGGAGTAGAGAGGCCACACTGTGGACTGTTGAGGTGGCCAACGTGGAGGTACTGGATTTGCAGGTGGCTTGGTGGTTCACGGCAGGAGGGGGCAATGTCGAGGGAATGGTCTTTAGACAGAGGGTGCTGGAGTAGAGAGGAAACTGTATAAAGGGAGTTGGGGTAAATGGTACATGGGGCATTAGGATGCTTGGGTATGCACTGGGCTGCCATCTGTGCGGTCAGCAGTTTGAAACCACTAGCAGCTCCATGGGGAAAAGACAGGGCTTTCTAGCCCCCTAAGCAGTACAGTCTTGGAAACTCACAGGGGCAGCTCTACCTGTCCTATAGGGTCACTATGAGTCGGCATGGACTCGATGGCAGTGAGGGAGGGAGTAGGGTACTTGGGATCTGGAATGGGATTGGGGTTTCTGTGCATTGTGTCCGAGGGTTGTTAAGAGGCATGGTTTATATGGGGAGAGATCGTTAGGTGCCAGGGTGCACAGCTGGTATGAGGACTATAAAATGGGTAGTCCCCATGGGAGGTCTTGGGATGGAAGTGGGAGGGCTAAGGTGCATGGTGTTATGTGATTGGTATGATTGGAGGACTTGATCTATGGAGAACTGTATCTTCATCACCTGAGGTATGGTGCAGATAATGTCCAGGTAGGGCTTGGGGTGACCAATGTGGGAAAGGGTGTTGAGAATGCTGGGGACTGTCCGTGAGTGGAGTATCGGAGCTTATGTCAAGGTGTATGTGCGTGGGCTAGAAGAATACATATCCTACATCCAGAAGAATGAGGAAGCACCGATAGGTGTGGGTGATAAACTCAACACTTGCTGCCATCCAGGGGCTGAAAACTCAAGCGGCCCGACAGGTCAAGGGGGAACTGCCCGGGCGAGTTTCTGAGGCTGTAACTCTTTATGGGGAGTAGAAAGCCTGGGGGTGATAGGGTGCGTACTTTGAGAGAAATGTTGGGGTGTGTGCTATCTGTAAAGGTGTTGGGAATTGTGATATGTAGGGTTGGGGGCACGTGGTCAGTGTGTGGGTTTGTTGGTACTTGATGGATGTGCTGAGATGCTGAGATGCCCATGGCCTCCACTATATGAGTGGAGTGTGTAAGGTATATATATATATATGTATTTATATAGGGGTTCCTGGGTACCCAGCCCGTGCCTAGAACAGATCATCTCTTTGAGGGTGTTGGGGTGCTCTGGAAGGGTGACAATGAAAAGTAAAGAGGGGTCTACTTGTGAAGATGGTCTCTTGGGGTTGCTGGAGATCTGCCAGTGATGCTTTGCTGTACATAGGTGAGTGGGTTCCGATTAGCCGTGTGGTGCTGCAGCTGGGCAGACAGAGAACTGTGGGAGAGTAAGCTGGGGGCCCCTGGAGTGAACAGGAGCGTTCCCCGATGAGAGCACCTGACTCAACAGGTGTTTTACTGGGGATAATGGTGCTGGGCTGAATGAAGGGCACTGATCCTTCAGGTGGGTTTAGGGACCAGAGCCTCACAGAGAAGGGCGGGGTGTGAGTACCACAGCAAGGGCCCTCATATCAAATGTGAGTCTCTGAGGGGTGAGGCCAGAGATGGAAGTCTGCCCAGGTTGGCCTGGGGCAAGAAGGAGTTTGTACTGGTCTTGAGGTGCAGATGGAGATATAGAGGGTAATTCCACCCCAGAGCAGCCCGAGTCTCAGGGAAGGAGGCTGGCAGGGTGGGAGTGGATGTCTAGGTAGGTAGCTCGGTGGTCACATCCAGATTAAGTGCTGGCCCCGTGGGCGTGTCTTTGGGAGGTGGGGGACGCCCTGTCCGGTGTCTGCTGCTCTGTCCGTGTGTACAAAGAAGTTCCGAGGTGGCTGTCCATGGACTGGGTCCTGGGCACTGCTTGCAGGCCCCCTTACCATCCTTGGAGTTCACGCTGAGGCTTCAGGGAGACAGTGGCCCAGCACTGTCCCCACAGGCCCAGGGGTCTACGTCAGCACCTGAGGGTCTGCGTGTGCGTTTGTGGGCTGCGTCCACGGGGGGGTGCCCGGACTGGTGCCCGCGCCCTTACCATCTTCGGTGGGCACGTAGAGGTTGAGGTACAGGCAGTCCTCGCTCTGGTTCTGCACGTAAGTGGCGGCCGCCTCCAAGTTGTCGGTGAACCACACGGGCAGCATGATGGCGGGCAGCGCCCCGTGCAGGTTCTGCGGGCAGGCGGGCGGCAGGGTGGTGGCGTTGCGCACGCCGGGCCACGAGGCGGGCGCCTCGGGCGGCTGGAAGCGGCGGGCACCCAGGGGCGGTGTGGCGTAGGGCACGCCCAGGAACTGCACCACGGGGCCCAGGATCTCGTTGTGAAGCTCGCGCCGCACGCCGCGCACCCGCCCGTAGGCGGTGTTCACCACGGGGAAGCGGTCCTCCCCGAGGCTGCCC